AATCTGTAAAAAAAATATAGAAAAGTATATTTTAGAATAAAAAGGTAATTTCGATATTTATTTATTCTGGATAAGGAAGAGAATAATCCTCCCGTCTTCTCTGGATTAATGAAATAAGGTAACGCAACATTTGGAGATCTGCCAATGCCTCTTAGAGGAATTTCCGAAAGAAACTGGATCCTATTTAGGTGTTGGGTAAATGAATAAAATCTGAGAAATTCCACGCGGCTAGCATGTTGTCCAGGCGCGAACCCGCGACCACTGTTTAATGGTTTTGTGCCCACCAGTATCCATACGGATACTGGTGGTCACAAAACCATTAAACGTGCCTCCTGGAGGACCGTTCTATGGGGAAACTGGCTCCTATTTAGGTACTAGGGATGTGAACAAAATCCGGGAAACTCCACGCGGCCATCCTGTTGGTGAGGCGCGAACCCGCGACCAGTGTTCGGCGGTTTTATTCACTGGGCCACTGGTTGTCCGCCTTCCCAGACTACGCTCGAACCTGACGTTAAATAATTATATCCGTTTTATTCTTTAATTTTAAACAAAAGAAATAACCAAAACCAAGTTTTTTGATGTAGATTAACTGATACTAATTCTACGAAATGTAATTTAATCGGATTATAATGATAAGAATTTTAATTACATTTAATTAATTATAATTAAAACTACTGAATAACAAATCTTGAGTTTTGAATTTATGAATACAGATGTATAACGAAATGCATTTTTGTGACATGAAAGATCGGTAAATATGTATTGGATCAAAAATCAGTTAACCGAGGTGTAAGAAAGCGAGTCAATTCGGTTTTAACCGACTTTTGGGCCACCGTGTATATGAANATCTTGAGTTTTGAATTTATGAATACAGATGTATAACGAAATGCATTTTTGTGACATGAAAGATCGGTAAATATGTATTGGATCAAAAATCAGTTAACCGAGGTGTAAGAAAGCGAGTCAATTCGGTTTTAACCGACTTTTGGGCCACCGTGTATATGAAAATGATACTCCATTTAATTTTTTAATATACTTAAACACATAATGAACACAATCGAACTTCGATAAATCGTCTTCCGAATTAGCGCCACCATCGTAAAGTGCCAACAAATACTTGCTAAATAATCTTCTCCATAAATAACGTACCGTGAAAAGATTTGCATGAAGTACAGTTATTTTAAAGAAATTAAAATCATCTGTTAATCATGCTTGCGTTATGTGCCACGTCTTTCGCACGTAACCAAATAAAGCATAAAAGCATGGTCCGAACTGTGTTATTTGATTTGAAAAAATCGCGATGGTAAAGAGTGAGATCTTCGGATCTCTTCTGCCATTCTGAAGAGCCAGGAAGACTAAACTAGAAGCGAGTGAAGTTCGAAAAGAAATGCAACATAGGGCAACTGAAACACCTCGTGCATAAACATGGTATAATCGCGTGATGGACGCAAGTTACCACTCTGAATGGCAATGACTTGTAAGGAAAAAGATCGTTTTGAACCTCCTACATGTTCTGCCACTGACGAAGCCAAAGGCCCACCAGCAGAAGAGCGAATAAAACCACCGAACACTGGTAGTTAGTTGGTCGTGGATTCGCGCCTCGCCAACGTGCTAGCCACGTGGCATTTTCCTGGGTTTTTTTCACGTTTGTAACACCTAAATAGGGGCCAGTTTCTCATAAAAGACCTCCCGGGAGGCAGAGTCGCCCATGTGTCCCGTTGCCGTATACGAATATACCAAATAAAGCTAAATATATCAAGAAATATAAGTTTTCAAAGAAGGTGATGGCGTGATTGTCCATTAGCGAGTAAGGAATTTTCAGTTTGGATGGGCTATGAATGTTGCATAAAGTTGAAGAATTAAGGAAAAACGTTGCAAAAATGTCTTCTGAACAGATGTCGACAATTTCCCGTTATGTCGAAGAAACATTAGATGAACTGGAGAGTTTAAGGATTACATTTGCGCCAAAAGATTTAAATCCTCCTAACACGGGACAAATTTAAAGGTAAGCCGACTTCAATAATTACAGGGCTAAATCGATTATAAGCGGGAGATTCAGTCAGAGCTGAAGAAAACGGATAAACCGTTAACCCCTGAACTTCACTCCTGAACCGGCTCACCAGTGGCCAAGCTGTCTTCGTACCCTGAAAACTGAGAGTTCGGTTGTGGGTTCGCGCCTTGCCACGTGGAATTTTCCGGGTTTTCTCCAGGTCTGTAACGCCTAAATAGGGCCAGTTTCTCTTAAAAAGACCTCCCGGAAAGCATCCCCCTAGGCAGATCCCCCCAAATGTTGCGTTGCCATAACTTAACAAACACTCCTGAACCACCTTAATGAAGCCTTAATGTTTTTTACACTAACCTTTGACATCAAGCCATTTTTTTATTTTAGTTGACATTCGAAACAGATCCACAATAAAAGGGAAAAGACTAAGATGATAATTATAAATGATGATGAAGATGAAAGAGAAGATAATTTAGTTACATGTTTCTTTGCAAGGATTATAATAATGTAATTAAACATAATTAATTAACTGAGCTATCAATTAAAACTACTTCGATTTTTTATGGAAAAAAGCAAGAAAAGTAATTAAATAATTAAACTTTAAAATTAAAAAAATCGAAAATAGCAGAGCGTGAAATCAATTTCTTTTGTTTTTAATTTAAATATTTAATTATTACAATAAAAATAAATTGTAAAATATTTTAAGCATACCCGTATTTTTTTTNTTAGAAAAGATTTTTCTATTTTAAAACATAATTTTTTTTAATAAAAACATTATTTAAAATATTTAATATTATAATTAATAAAAACAGAATTGATAATCTTCAGTTGTAAGAATTAAAGGGTTTGCTCTTGTAATTATATAGAGAGGATCCATTCATAGGTATTATACGCCTTACAAGTGTGGCATTATATAAAGGTTTGAGTAATGAACTAATTAACTTATTATGATGTTTGCTGCTTGATTCTTTCCGCGTTGGGCGCAGTAAAAGGAGCTTTTAGTTCTAAACATCGTGGGTTCAGCCAGGCCTACATTGGAAAATAGCAGGATGATGAGGAACCGGGCTCCACTTATCCGAGATAGACCACGTCCAGAAAAATTCTTGGGAATTTTCGACTGTCAGAATGCGATTTTGGGTTCTCCAGAGCCACAGAGTGACGCTTTGGCCATCCCACTGGCAAAGACGATAACTACTTTTTATATAATCAAAATCAACGAGCTAGAATATACTACATAGAGTGGCAGTGACCATGGTTACAGCACTCTTGGTGGAATCAATGGGTATTATCACTTTTACGCAACGAATTGGAATATTCTAACTCGTTGCCTTCACGCAACACAAATGCCACGTTCCCTTGACTAGAAAGAAAATGGCGGACGTGTATTCAATTTTCCTCAAACATGGCGTCGCTTCAGCTACTCTATGTAGTATATTCTAGCTCGTTGATCATAAGACTGAAATAGAGAAAGCGGGACTGTAACCTACGATAATAAGGATTTTGGCAGATGTTATTCCGTTTATTTCGTTTTGAGATCTGAAACAACTTTTCTGAGCCGTTAAATTACTTAGTTGCGGATAATTTCTGACATTTTGAAGTTCATAACCGAATTATTTCACTTTTTCTCATTAGCAATATGTCACAGCCGTTCAAGCGGCGGTCGTGAAAACTAATGCCGCCAGATTCAAATCATCTTCATGAACACCATAGAAACTGCCGGATTAGTGAATCCCGTATTAGTGAGATTCAATCCTGTACTTTAATATAATTTATTTATTATTTATTAAAATAAATGCTAAATAATAAATATTGTATTTCTTTATAGATACATAGTTATAGAGAGAATTTATATTATTATTTTTTTTAAGTTTTAATGCATAAAATAATTAATATTTTATAATATTCTTGTGTATAACCTGCCGTCACAATAATTTACATGCTCTGTTACTTTCAGTAGATTATTAAGTTTGTTATTGTTATCGTGTTATACGCGAACTTTTACAATATTCAAAATTAAAATAGCATAAAATATTGCATTTATAATGTTATGTATATTATATATCACGTCTGTATAAACAGTTTAAATTTTGAAATAAGATTATTTAAATCTAATTTAATGCAGAAACATTATAACAAATTAATTTGAATTAAAACCTTTTTGCAAACGCGATAAGAGAGCCTCCAAGAGGGCAAAATCCATTTACATATGGATCCTCCTGATTGAAGCATGACTCGTTTCCTTGCTATCATTTTAGGAGGCTGTTATATCGAATTATACACCCTTTTCTACGTTCAAAGACCTTTAAATAAGTAAAATATTCCATTTTCAAGTGCCAAATCTGAAAAATTCATTGGAGTTTTATCTTCCAGGATTCGATTGCTGATCTCTCAGAACGGTACCTGAGCCCTTAACTTTAAAATAAAATAAATATATAAAATGCCATCAATCAAGAATACCTTTATTGAAGGCAGTAGCAGTGAATAAAAATAGCCGCTATAAAAATGCGTTATTATTGTATCGAGCTTGCCAAATTTATCAGAAACGTAAAATAAAATTATAATATTTTTATGAAATTTTATTTTTACAATATTATAGAATTAAATATCTATTTATATTTGTTAAAAGGAATAATTTCATCTCTTGGAATTAAATATGGCGGCCATCTTAATTGCGCAATTTTAATTAATTTATCTTCTTTGTTTATTGGATCTTCTATTATAGAAATCTTTGGCATAATTCGAATGTTTCTGTTGTTTAAATTTTGATAAAGCTGGTTCGACTTTGTTTCTATTTTTATCCGATTTTCTTCCGGACAAGCTTTGAGAAATTCCAGTTCTTCGATAGATAAACTCAAATCAATGCCCGGTTTACCACAATAACGATGTGGTCTTCGAGCGACGATTTCTTCGTAAATACTTTTCGAAGTGGAATTTACTTTCTTTTTTCTCTCTGGATTTACTTTTTTCAATGTAAATTTTAAGGATTTTAATGGTTTACAACTGGATTCGTCTTTAGGACGTTTGCTTTGCGCACATAAATCTGGAGAATCATCGCTCCAATTAAATAATTTCGTTTCTTTTTTTGACTTAGCGCCATGCTTGTCTTTATTAATTGAAAATTCTTTATTATCTTGTTTAATTAAGGAAGACCACGAGATGTTTGGAGACGAAATGGCGATAGAAGAAGGCATGACAACATCAAAGCTTACCAAACTCAAATATTCTGGAACTGATTCGGGATTACTGTTATTCATCATATGCAATATTAAAGAACTGCTATTGTATTTTACGTGTGTAAGAGCATTTGTAGAACATTCTAGAGAAGATTCCAGATAAATTTCAATACTTTCTCTTAATTTCAAATCGATGCCATATTTATAATTTTGAAGCACTTTAACTGGCGGCTGTTCTTTAAAAAGTGGAAGGATTATTATAATCGTATCTTCTACATTTTCTAACCTGCTATTCTCAAGAATTGAATCAGATTCACTAGTGTAATCATGATGATTTAATAATGGATACTTGCGATCGTTTAGTATTTCAAAAAATTGCATTTCATCATTGAATAAAGCTATATGTAGAGGATATTCATAAAATATATTGTTTAAGGTTGAAAAATCATTTACATATTTATTACAAATGGAATTAATTCTCGAAAAAAGTTTCTTTTCGTTCAATAAAGAAATAACTTCAGTCGACATCATATTAATTCCCAATTCTTCATTTGGGTTTTGTGTAATTTCTGATTGTTCATTGTTTATAAATGGTGCCATTTCGTTATCATTGGTGTGAATCGTATTGATTTCTCGAAATTTCTTCTCTCTCCGTTTAGATTTCTTAAATAAACCTTTTATGAATTTTGAAACAGATGAAGATTTCTTAATTTTCGTTTTTGTAATATAATTTTCTGAATGAGAAACTTTAGGCGAGTAAATGAATTCATCCTCGTTTTTTGATATTTTTTTCTCAGATACAGAAGAATTTAAATTTTTATTCAATTTACTTTTTACTGTTTTGCCACAGTTTTTAAATTTAAGTAAAGATTTTTTCTTACATTTTACCAATTGCTTTTGTTTGTGATTAGAGTCATTCGTTTCATTGTCTTTCGAGCAACTTTGCTGCTTAGGAAATTTTTCTAGGTTATCTGATCGCCAGGAAGATTCATCTGTATTATTATTATTATAAAAATTGTTTCTGTTTTCTGAATTTTCCTCACATTTTGAACTTCCACATTCCTTCTTTTGATATTCTGAATTATCCATAGATGATACTTTTATCACAGTTTCTACTGATGTAGAAGCAGATTCAGATGATTCGTACGGATGTGACATGGTATCATCTCTTTCTTCTTGCAACTTACTTTTATTTAAGGAAACGTCTTCTTCTGAATATTTTTTACTCGCGAACTTAGAATTTAATTTTAATGCCATGGGTATATTTATTTCATTGTCTGATTTCACCATTTCTTCACAATCACTTCCAACGTTGGAATTTTTGTTTAGAATTTCGGAAATTTTTATCTGTTTATTACGATTTTTCATGGATTTCTTGTTTCTTATTATACTTACGTAATTCTGGACCAGGTCAATTAATTCTTTTTCATTTTGTATTAAATGATTTTTTAAAACATTTCGAATGGCATTTTCCATTTCCTGGCGTACGTTTTCATTGGTTGATATTAGCTCAAGATTTCTTGTAAATTCTTCAAGTGCATCTTTTGTCAATAGATTGATTGCATTTCGAAATTCCGGATGTTGTATCAAATTCCATTCTTTAGCTTTGGACATGATTTCATCTCTAAATTGATCCATTCTGCTTTCAATTTTATCAATATTTTCCAAAACGATTGAAGAAACTTGCTCGATTTAATTAGTTTTATTGAGTTTTCTTGTCAATAAGCAGACATCGATACAATTCTTTATTTATTGAATTCAATAATTTAAAAATTGATAATTATTGAACAATGCTTTTGTAGTTATCGTTAACACAAAATTTCCTAAATGATAAGCTTTTCTACTGGTTATTTTATCAGTTTTACAATATTTTTATTTCGTGTTATAATATCAGAATAAATATATAAAATTCTTATATGTATATATTGGATATTTATTATCTTAATATCATGGAACACTCTTGTTTATATTTAAAACAATATACACATTTTATTGTTAAATTTCTAAATCTTTGATTCTTATTTTGGAGATAAATAAAAGAATTAGAAATAGGAACAATAGAAACTTCAGATTCCTCATGGAAATGGGAGAGCATTCGGCCGGCTGGACAGTTTTTACTTCTATTAAATTTATATTAATTAAATATATTTATCTGATTTATTACATCTCCAGGTCATTATTTATATTATTTAAGTTAGGTGTTTACCATCTATTCTAATAAATAAATATGAATTTTCGTTAATGAATAATATTAAGGTTTTAATTTTCTGTATTTTCGCAAATTGAAACTGAAGTTTCTGTTATCAGATAATGTGAGACGATTTTAAATTTGAATTTTGTATTACAAGCTACTTTTTATATAGGTTAACTATTGTAATGGATAACGGGGGTGACTCAACGGTACATCAACCTATTATTTGCTCCGTTTCGCAATTATTGAACTATAAAATATAAAATTACATATCCTCTCTGATTTTAAGAAGGCTCGAATGCTTCTAATTGAAATTTGATACCATCAACAGAATGGTCAATATATAAGTACAGTATTATTAATCAATAATATAGCCCATAATTTGATAAAAGACTAAATAAAGGCCTTATTAATTATTATTCTAATCAAAGTCTTCCATGAATTCAAACTCAACAGAACAGTTTTAGGATGTGCTATAGGGAAGATAAGCGAGCAGGATCGTCGGGAGCTTGTATGGGATCCGGAGGTAAAGCAGGTTCCGTTTGTCATTGTTTTTGGAACAAATAAAATACATAGAATATATCTTTATTAATATACTCGACCTTCCCATAACACTGTTGATAATTCTGTTTTATATGAATTCCATGTTGTACGAGTCACTTAGATTTTACAAATACGTGTGCCGGGCTGTGAACGACTCACGTATTTGTAAAATCTAAGTGGCTCGTATAACATGGAATTCATATAAAACGGAATTACAACAGTGTTATGGGGGTCGACTGTATTAATAAAAAGCAGTTTTAAAGATTCTTTTTTGTTAGTAAAAATAACAACTCCTCAGGGATATTTCGTGCGCGGTCTGTCCCAGATGTGTCGAGCGCTGTTCTTCACTATCCGGCCGAATCCACCATAGGTATGGATAAAAGGCCCTATTAGTATCCAGAGAAAGAAGAAAAAAGTACAACTTATTATTTTTAAAATAGACTCTAATTTATATTTTAAAATAACCAAATTCTTTCTTACTATTCTAATTCCATACCTCGTTGCGGATCTGATTGGCACTCGAACCAAATCTATAATTTATCATGGGCAGTACGGAATTGGGGATTGTGCCTACTCCCTCAAGCATACTGTCGATTCCATTAGGAATCGGATCCGTCTGCACTGAGCATATTTGTGATCATTGTATTGTGCTGGTTTTTTGTGTTAACTAATTAATCTTTCAATCTCTGAATTTTTTTCTATTTAAGATGTATATGATTTACATAAAAAATTTATTTTCTTAGCATGTTATATACTGTATACTGTATATATAGTATATTATACATACACATATCGTATGCTAATATTATAAATCATATATACTTAAAATTTGGTCGAGTATTAATTAATAGCATCACTTTTAATAATTGCTGGATCAGTTTACTGTCTTCTTTCGACAATTCTTTGATGAATCACTCCCTTCGTTTCTGATGTCATCACCACTTACTTCATTACCTTTACAAGTTTAATAGGTGTAACAACCTCTAGAAGGAAAGAAACAATAGAAGAAAGTATTTTAATGAGTATAAATTATTAATAGACCTCGCTTTACGACTTAACCAGTTGTTCCTAGAAACTCGTCGTTAAGTGACACGTCCTATTTCCCAAATTCAGGGATATTTAACTTCAACTGTATAATATCATACTAAAATGGCACTCAAGTGCGGCATTTCATATTTATAATAGAAAATTTTATAACAGTATCAAAAGAGCGAAAGGTCTTAAAGCGGGAGATATGTTTAATTAACCAGATAAATTCGGGCAAGATTTTAACAAAAAAATATTTAAAAAATTAATTTATTGCTGTATAAATCATTCAGTTCATTGCTACTTTCTACAATAATACATAATAATTTACAGAATCAATTAAAAATGATTCATTATTCAATTTTTAACACGAATATTCTTAATTAACACGTGGTAAATGCGCCGTAAAGTTTTACAAAATTACAGTTTTTTTTTTTTATAATTAGAAACACTATATTATTGTATTCATGAATTGTTTAAATGAGTATTTTTCCCCCTCAGCTTTCTAGTCACTTTGAAAGCTAAGTGCAAAGACAATAACCTATTTTTTTCTTTTTTTACTGACATTTTTACGTATTTCATTAACTCAGAACACTAGAGAATAAAAAGTAAAACGTTTTGGGAATGTCTGGAGTAAGCATTCGTATAATCAGTGCCAAGTTTTTTTTTATAAATGAACTGTTCTGTTTCTTTGTGTAAGTGACGTTTGAACTTTACGTAATACTAGAATACAACACTAAGTGGCGAGCCCCGGACCTGATTTGGATTGTGAAACGTTTTTATGATTAACAAAAACAAATAATCCAGTTTAAGTTTAAATTTTATATTTAAAAAATAAATATAAGTAATCTAACAGCGTTATTTCGAGGGAGCTTCCAAATCTGGAAGACCCTATACTCTTTGAAATCATCACTAAGAAGGTGTTTTGTAGACCGTGTGGCACTATATTGGAGGTGTTCGTAGTATTCGAATTTACTCTTTATCAACGTAATATCGAATACTTTCTAGTGTTCGAGTATTTTAGCGGATAATATTCTCCTATCTATAATAATAATAATGCATTAAACTGAAATTATTAATATGGGGTGAAATCGGGGATTTCTCGGTTAAGTAACTTTGGTTCCTATAGATCAGAGTTTAGAATTGTATAGAAGACATACAGACATTCTATTATATATATATATATATATACTGTATAGGATTATAGAGCATAATTAAGACGTAATAATTCGCAATTTATATTACTGCTTTATGCAAACTTAATTATCAATTTGTAAAATTTAAATTATTCTTTTGTTTTTTTATAATATGAAGGACAATAAAGTTTCGGTTAATTAATAATATGGCTGCTGAATGAATCATAATTTAAAAGATTGGTGTCGTTATGCTTTACTCGTGTAGATGTAAAAAATGATTAGGCCTATATAATAAAAATATATGGAATATATGGAAAATATATCATTTTTACTATTATTATTTGCTATTTATGCCTATAATTTACATTTTTAACCATTTTTCATCGGAAAAAATCGAACAGAATCTTAGGAAAAGTGAATATTTTTAGGAAAATTAATGTGAAGTAGCGTGGCTCGTTTTACGACGGTGGACGTAACGATGATTTTTCTAGGAACCAAGAAGTCTAATGCGTTATTATTAACTCTATATTAATTATAGTTGATAATGTTTTTAAAATTATTCACAAAAAATAGGACAGAGAGATAAGCTTCGCCCCCTCACTACGTCTCTGTGTAGATTCTCGAAAAATTCCCGTAAATTCATTATATACATGTGACTAAAATGAGTCATAATCAAAAGATCTTTAGTCATAAAAAGATTTTTTTTTTTTTTAAATTTAAAGAATGTTTTATACATTTATAAAATATTTTATCATATATATATATATAATTAATACAAATAGTTTACACATTTTGTTGTGTGTATAAATAGTACATAGAATCATAAATTCCTCTCTGCAACAATCACTTCATACACCTTACACCCACCATTAAGTAAAAAAATCCCAAATTAACTCGTGGCTCGCGGGTTTGCGCCCTAGCAACGAGTTAGCAGCCACGTGAAATTTTCCGGATTTTTTCACGTGTCTAACATTTGAATTTCCCATAGATCGTCCTCCCGGGAGGCATCTTTCTTGGCAAGTTGCCCTCGTGTCGGTTGTCATATTCCATCAAACCAAGTTAACAACGAAAGAAGAGATTCAAACTTAATAAATAAATTCGTGCATAGCCTACTTGGTGGCCCAAAACTAGATTAAGCAATACATTACAATTATTTTTTCGGTGTTTTTTTAAACCAGTTTTATACGTAAAAAAAAAAAACCTCCGTTTACCCGTACCCTTGAAATATATATATAGAACGGTTAACTGACTTTTGGACCACTTTGTATACGGTATAACGGTATAAATACGAGATTATATGCCTTGCTTTTACTTAATTATACTAAAAGATAAGTTAAATGTTTAATCGTCAAGGTGACGAGCTTTAACATTGAATAAAACTGAAAAAAAAAACAATAATAATAAACCGGTAGAGAAACTACATTCCAGAAATTCCGGTCTAGGTTAACCTGTCTATAATTTTAACTAAAATATATATAAGTGTGTGAAATTTAATACTTTTATTTTTGGTATTATTTCCCGTATTAATTTTATATAATAAAAAATTATCGTTGTTCCTTTTTTTTTTTGCAATTTATAATTTCGTTATACTTCCTACAGATGGCCAACCATGTTATGACGCCACCACGGAAGTGACGTCAAATAACGCGAGCAGAAAGATATATCCAGCAGCCTTCTGATCTGATTTGGTATGTTTAAGATGGCGTCGGCCTTGCATTGGATTCCCGATTCTTTGTACAATACAGCAATTACTACTGTCGTTTCGTGTTTTAATGTGTTTCAGAAAGAACTACGTACATTTCCCGAAAATGTACTGTTTGATATTTATTATAAAGTAAGTAATAAGGAGTGGTAATGGATATTTGTTAGATTTTTTTACATATGATACCTAATTTTGTTTCATAAAAATACATGTAATGGCTAATGTAAAGCTTTAATAAACTTACATTGGATATAACAAAAGAAAATGAGGGGTATTTAATGCATTAAACATAAAAAAACTGGCATGCAAATTCCATGTTATTAATTAATTACCATTTGTGGGAAGATTGCAAAGAAAATTACACATTTTAATCAATAATGCACAAATACAGATGATAATTTGTAAATTATCTTCCATTAAAAAACCCTAATGTCAATTCTATTAATTAAGTTATTTTTTCTTTTTTTAAATTAGAAAACATCAAATAAAATGATTATTAATACTCATAAAACAGTACATGTGTATATTTATGTTTGTATTTCAATTTTGTATACGTAATCTTGCTTGTTTTGTGTGAGAACAAAGCAAACTGTCCGTTGGCATAAAAGTTGTTTGTTTTTTGGTTATTTAAGTAAAAACGAGTGCTTTTTCACGTTTCAAAATGTCATCCTGATGATAAACATTCTTATTCTGTATCGAGCATGGCGAAGATTGTATTTATAGAAACTGCAAAGTGGTTGCCGTTCTCGCTTGTTTTGGACGATGCGGTTTTGTATTTTCTCGCTTTCCTGTATTTAACGTCCTGACGATTACGAATTTGTATAGGTTAATGGTAATTTTTAGGTTCTAGAGGAGGTCGCGGTATCCTCGTCTTCTGTAGATTGTAGATGGACAGCTTATTAAATGTCTCAAGTGTTGCCCGATCAAATACCGATAGACTTTATGAATAATTTATTATGGTATGTGTGTTAAATCTAACAAATAAATACATATATGTATTCACAGCTATTCTAATTCTAAGTATTATTGCTTTGTGTTGTTTAGTTAGCATTTTATATATTATTTTTGATATTCAAAACTGAATTTACTCAATTAGGATTTATTATTTTATTTTATTTTTTTTAATGTACTTTCATGATATCATTTTTCTTATTTTGATTGAATACATTAATACAGCTGAAAGAACTTACTGTTTTAATTGAGTTTTTAATAAAATTTTGTATTTTCTGTAATGCTTACAAGTATAATAAACAAACAATGAACTGGGATGATTTGAAAACATTTTTTTTATAACTGTAATAAAAAATATGGACTTCTATATTTTAATCTGTCTTGTTATGATTAGACAAAATTGTTTGAAAAAGTTTCTACTAATCTGCAATTAATTAATGTGAATATGTATTAATATAAACTATAATACTAATATTGGCTGTGTAAGTAGCCAAAAATGTTAGTATTAAAGCCTTTAACTAATTTAATTAGGTGTTATTTATAGGGATTATTTATATACGAAAAATTATATCCTAAAACAATGTTTATCAAATTTATCCTATGTTCTATTAACTGTTTTTATTACTTTGTAAATTATAATTATGATGTCAGTGTGACCTTCACAGATTCTAGTATTAGCTTTTTTGTAAATGATATTTTAATCATTTAATGTAAGAGAAAACTAGCTCAAATTCATCTTAAATTATTTAAATAAATTCTGTGAATATATCACTAAGTGTTTAGATGCATGGATAATGGGAAAATGTTTGTTTCATAAATTATTATAAATTGATATTGAAGAGAATGATTATTTTAAATTATTATTTCTTTATAAACAAACTAAATGCTTATTGATGTGACATTTGCTATTGTTAAGTTTATATTTATTTAATAACTATAGTTGAATATATAAAATTTTTTTATAAGATAAGCTTTCTATTTGGCTTTGTATATGTATAAATTTCACAGTAATTCTGTAGGCTATATCTTGGCATTAATGTTTTTAAATGCTCTGATATATACTGTATATGCCTGTATGTAACTCATATTTCTCTAGAACTAGGGGTTGACTTATATGGTGGGTATGAAATACAATTATTTGTTGCAGAATTACTACTTTTTGAAAATGATTGCATTTCATAAAGTGGTACAGTTCTTTTAATCAGTTTGCTATGGCTAATAATTGCTGTATGCCACTTTCATCAGACTTGCCACAAATATTTCCAAAAGTTAGAGTTCCAAAGTCTAAAAGTTGCATTTGATCAGCTTACTGTATGTAACATAATTAATATATAAGTAAAAAGTTAAATTTAAAAATTCATGCCAAGCTTTGTATAGTTTCTGGATGAAAATTCACTGAGGACGTTCTTAACGGAATTTCTGGACACATGGTTTGAATTTAAAAATTCTGTTGTTTTGGAACATTCTTCACGTTCGGTTTGTTAAAATGTGTTCATTTCACCTGAAGACGACAATTATACACTCGTTGAAAGTGCTTGTGTTAATGCTAAAGGAACTTTATTAATGCTGAACTCAGTGAATTTTCATCCAGAAACTATAATTAATATAATATTAAAAGTTTAGTATAATCAAACACTGTACAGTATTCTGTTTTCAGCAGTTTGATGTGTCAGCTTGAATAATGCCGATATGAATAGCAGAACATAAACAAAGGCATACTACAGATTTACTATCATATATTGTACGTGGCAGTATTATCAGCATACTATACTTTGCACACTATTAATGTTTTATTGGAGATATTGATTTTGTCTTGAATGTAATTTACCAGTAGGCCTGATGTACAGGGTGTCTCGAAAGGGAGTTTACAACTTCAAACTTTTATCATGGCTTTGAATTGACATATAGGAACCTACTATGATTCAAGTGATGTACCGGCTTAAAAGAGTTTTTACATCACCGTATTGGACTGTTGTTGTGAAAGATAAGCTGATCAAAACTTTTCTGGCATGTTGGATTGATAGAGGCAGCCTAATTGCCTGGCCTCCTAGGAAAATTCAACAACAGTAATTCTAAATTTACCATTTACAATACAAATGTATACATATCTTTCCTCAACAATGTTATAATAAAAAACATTAAGTGAGGACTTGCTAAAATTTGTTATCAGTTCATTCTGTAGTTGTGATACAATTACAACTACTGTAGTTAAATAAGTTGTAAGAATCTGATATTTTTGTAATGCAATTTGTAATGCAAATGAAATAAAAATACAAAATTCTACAATAAAATAGTTTGAAAAAACTAAAAGATTAAATATTAAAGAGCTAAATAAAATAAATTAGTATTTTTTGACTTTAAACCATTCAAATAACAAAATGTTTTAAGAAAAATGATTGTTGTTTAGTAAAATGCCTTTCTTTTTTAAAAAAATACTCATTCATTCATTTTTAGCTTATTCATTATTATTTTTCCTTATTCATCCAGGTATTTTTACAATAATTGATAAGTTTTACTATCTATAATACTATTTTACTATACAGTATTTGTTTATTTTTAACAGATTACATTTAGTAAATAAATGTTTTCTTTAATGTACTTTCATGATATCATTTTTCTTATTTTGATTGAATACATTAATACAGCTGAAAGAACTTACTGTTTTAATTGAGTTTTTAATAAAANATTCATTATTATTTTTCCTTATTCATCCAGGTATTTTTACAATAATTGATAAGTTTTACTATCTATAATACTATTTTACAATACAGTATTTGTTTATTTTTAACAGATTACATTCAGTAAATAAATGTTTTCATAAATTTATGGTAATTATGATGTCTCATTATGTGTTAAAACTGCAATGAATGAGTATTTTTTTTAAAAAAGAAAGGCATTTTACTAAACAACAATCATCATTTTTCTTTAAACCATTCAAATGACAAAAAATTTTAAGTCTAAAACTTCACTGTAGTTATCAAGAATTTTTTGAAAGTTGCCTTTTTTTGTTTTTTTTTTGTATAAGCTTTAAAAAAGTTGTTGTTCAAAAATTTTATCTATCTTTGGAGAGAGATATCTTTCACATTTGTCTTTTAATGTCATTGAGATTTTTCCATTCAGCCTTTGTTAAGTTAAAATTAAATATTATTGTCAGGATTAATACTTGTCATGAACATCACTGATTGGACTTGTAGTTTGTTGTTTAATTAATTAATTAATTTGGGTAGCTGTGGCACACCAGTTAAATTGTTGTATCCATTGTTTAAATTAGATATGTTTTCTGCTGTAAAATCATAATTTGAGAGTGTAAACTTTGCCGTTCAATGTATACATGGTTGTTAGAGTTAGTGCCATTGGTTTAAATATCAGTGTCAATCATTTTCTTAAATTTATTTCATGCCTTTTATTTCAAAGATGGATGTTTGTTACACTCACAAAAAATCCTGATAAGACTCATTTTAACACTTTTGGTACTTTGACACTGTAAAGAGATGGGATAGGTTGAGGAGGACAAACTGCATATTGCATACAGAACCTTTGCATTTTAGTGCATGAATATTGCAACATTGTATATAACAAGTCTAATACAAGACAATAAATATTAAAAGTATTTTTACAAAAATGTTAGGTTCTTTTGAACAGGCTTTCTTATTCATATCTTTCATAGCATTACAATTATCTTGGCTTAAAATTTTTATATGATTCTGTTAGTCACTGATTACTGGTTTAGATGATTATTTTGTTAAATGTGATTGATTTATTAATTTATTTCTAGTTGATTCGTTTTTTGAAACCGTGTTTTCATATTTATTTACTATTGAACACAAGACTGTGTTATTAAAACACTTGACTCTTTATTCAACTGAATAAAGAGGAAAAATGCCAAGTGTTTTAATAATAACACAGTCTTGTGTTCAATAGTAAATAAATTTATTTCTAATCGATTAATGTAGATATAAGCCATAATTATTTAGTATTTGTAAAAGCCATAAAAAAATCTTATTGAATGTAACATCAAACAAAAGCATAAGTTTTTAATTTTAAAATTTGCTGAAAAACATTTAAGCAGATGCACAACTCCATAAGAAAACACTAGAAATCATTGAAGAAATATTTTTTGAAACTACACAACCCATCATCTGATTCTACAGAATTGCAATGAAAAATGCCTTTTGTTTTTTGTTCCAATTCTATGATGATGGGAGTGTAATTTCAAAAAATGTTTAATCTGAAATAAATCTTGGATTAATTCAGTGATTCTAGTGTTATGCTATTTTTCTTCCAGAGAAATATTTACACATTTACATGCTTTGTCATTTTAAGCTATATATTCTTCACTTAACTAATTGACATAATTAATGACTAAATTTCTAGAATGACATTCTATTGAATTACAGTTATATTATCTTATTTTAAAATATATTTATTTATAGGAAGAAAATACAAAATTAAGGATAAAAATATTATTTTTTAGATTAAAAAAATATCCAAGTATTTAAGTAACCTTCTGATTTTAAAATCAGAAGGTTACTTAAGTATGCAAGAATTAAATAAGTTTACTAGTGAATGAGTGCCTTGGACCTTTATTTCTTAATTTTTGATTGATGTGGGACCAAAGGAAATAGAGTAAACAGATACACAAGAGGTCTAACTATTGTACCTTACCTTTAGTCATCTTATGTCTTCATTTCTACTTAATAATATAATTTTGTTTGAAAAATTATAGATATCAAAATTAATAAATATAATTCCTATAAACTTGTATTCTTTATTTATTTTTTTCTTTTTTTGTTGCATTTATATTGTGTCATACTTGGATATAAACAGAATAAATTCATTGGGCTACAATTTGAAAAAATTGTATACCTATAAATTTCCACTGTTGTCTGTCTTTCCTCAATCTTGAGAATAGATTTAGATGAAAGCCACGACCAGATATGGAAACATTAAGGGCAGGAGGCCCCAATTAACTATATACAAACTTCAGATGCAAACTGGAAATCAAGTTATTTTAATTCAAAACTTCCCCTAAATAGCAGTTAATAAAAGACTGGCACAACTCCATTGCTAATAGAAAAGTACAATGTACAGGGGCAAGACACTACAATACTAATTTGAAGTAGAGATTTGTATATTTTAAATGAAATAAATTAAAAATGTGATTAAAAATTGCAATTCAGCATTGTGATGATGTCACAATAAATAATTGCTTGTTTTAAGTACTTTTTTATATGACTATATCCTAAATATTTTTTTGTTTAAATATTAAAACATTCACAGGAAGACCTAAGCCAATAGATTTTTATCGAATTAGATAATAAATTGTGATAATTTGATGTACCAGTACCTAACAAATTCAGAGACTGCTGCTAGCTCTGCTTATTGATCTGATAAGACTGTTTTGCATATGTTACTATGAACTGCTTGGATACATGTAAAGGTTTCATAATCCTGTCAGTCAAAACAATTTAGTCACTTTTGGTGCAATTGCTAGATCTAATGAACTAACTACAGTTTCAGCTTTTTTGTATAATTGATATTGCTTGGTATTCAGACTTCAAAATTAATATTTTAGAAAACTTTTTTTAATTATATGCTTTTGCCACTGATTGTTTCAGAAATTTATTTTCTAGTGACTATATGTACATACTGAAATATCTTAGATCAGCAGTTCCCAATTTATTTTAATTATGGAACCCTTTTCACCTGGATAAAAAGTATTGAAACGTGACAATCTGCACTCTGATAATAAATAAAATAAATCAAAAATAGAATATACAAAAAGATTGAATTAATAATATTTGCTTTTTTATTATTAAACTGATAATTAATATGAAGGGTGAATTTTCACATGTGGTTTTTGTCAGTGGATGTGGTGAGAGTTCAATTACTGGAATATTAATCAAATGCATTTGATTTTTTTTTTTTTTTTGTAAATTGCTAATGAACACTGAAATATTCAAATATTACTAACCCTGGGCAACAGTTTCTTTGATAGGAATAAACACTTTAGTTTTCAAATACAAAGAATTGGATACATACAATAGGAAAAAATTAATACATGATTGATCTTCCACTGTTAGATTCAAAAATTGTATAATTTTGAATTTAACAGAAACAATCATTCTTTCTTGAAAATTTTTATATAAAAAAGTGTGTTTTCTATTTTAAATATATTGCTTTCTCATTACTCCATTCTTGATCTTTTTTTAAAACTTATAGCAGATTTTGTAAGTTGAGGCCATAATAAAAAGATGGTCACAGATAAAATTGTTCATTGCTACAAGTCTTTTAACTGTTCACATTTGCACTAATTGTATTATTTGAGTAATTTTAACACAATAAATTTTGTTAGTAGTGTATTATATAATAGTATCTTTTAAACAACAATGTTTCTGTATGAAATTATTGTTGTTATATACAGGTGATTGATTCTTAATCCATCAGTTATTTAGAAGAAAAACTTAAGTTTGAATATATAGAATTTCTACAATAATAAATTGAAGCTTTAATAACACCCATGCTTTTTGTCAAAAATTTCTGAAATTTTGCAGGGAGGTTCATATATTAATGGATTAATGCTATTAACTTTTGATGGTTAAAGGTCGAGGGAGTGGGGCGATAAAGGAGAATCGTGTCATATCTCGAGTAGGGTCTGACCTAATGAAGGTTGTACTCGTTATTAGCATTTACAATTTTTATAAAACTCATCCTTACCCTCAAAATTAAGCTTTTTCCTGTTTAGTAATAATTAATTATATAAAAAACTTTTTAAACTAAAATATCATAACAGATGGCACTCCATGCAGTTTTAAATGTCATTACTTAGAAAATTCAGCAATTCATTACTGGAATGTTTACATGTGATTTCTTAAGCCATGAAAAATTTAAATTACATTTAGATTTGAGATTGCAATTTAATTTAATAAATTCTCAAAAATTGAATCAAAGCATTTGTTAAGTGTTTCATAAAATATTTAAAAAAATTACAAAATTAATTTAATAGTAAGTATGTTTACAATTTACAGTATGGCCAATATTTAAAAATAAGAAATTATATCCATTTCTGTTTAGAAGATTGCATAATTGTGGTATCTTATAGAAACATAAATTTAGTCATTAAAATATTCACAAAATATGATATATTTATAAAAGTAAACTTATAATTTCATTATTAAAATTTTTATTTTAGTTGTATAAACAAGGACGACTTTGCCAGTTGGGATTTGAATTCTGCAATCTGGAAGTCTTTTCTAGAGTACTCAAGGTGAAAGATAAACGGTAAGAATAAAATTTAGAAGTCTACTATCTTTTAAAATAATATAATAAAAATGTATGCTGTTTATTATCATTGTATTATTATTATAAATTTTAAGGAAATTAAAAAATGATATAAAATTGTAATGCTAGATGATCTGCTGAATTATCAGGCTGTAAAATGCCTAATACAATTGTATATACAAAGTAATTTGTTTAGTGGTAGATGGTTAAGCTGTCATCTCATGATAATTATAGTAAATTAATTTTAATTTAGAATTTCTGGAAGAAAAAAATCAGCTCAGAGTGGGAATTGAACACAGAACTTCTAACTCTGCAGATGCATTACGAATTACGCTATCTGGCCCCCTATCTAAATAACCTGTACAGTTTTATCTAAATAGTTCTAGAAGCAAAGGTCAGGTGGAGATCTAGGTTGTGTAACTGGCAATGCATCTGCACAGTTAGAAGTTACAGATTCAAGTCCCTGCTCTGAGACAACTCTTTTCTTCCAGAAATTCTAAATTAAAAGTATCGTGAGATGGTGGCTTAACTACCTGTATCTAGACAAATGACTTCATATCTAATTATTAACTTAGTCTTATCATAGCCTAATTATTTGGCAAGATTGTCTGGCTTTAATCAAAATGTAGGTTTGTGGAGTTGTTGTTTATATATAAAATTGTAAAACAAAGTTTACTATATAGTATATAAATTTTTGATGTTGGGAATTAGTTGATATTTGAGATTAACACTTTCTACATTATTAAGTAATTTTTTTCCATAATTATACTATTTTAATTATTCTTTATTATTTTTAGTGTTATTAAATAATCCATATCATCTTACTTTACTTTTATTCTTAAAGAAAAATGAGTTGTTTCAGTTAATGCCTTTAAAAATATTTAATATTTAAATGGACAATTTGATATATACTACATGTGTATAATTTATAATAAATTGTTTTTTATACATGTAAATAATTACTCCATTGTTCTTTTTATATTAAAATATCTATTTGTTTTAATTTGAATTCAATCCCCTTACTTTATTTTTCTTTATATTGCCAATAAATGGATCAATTATAGATCTTGCTTTTGGATAATCAATGTAATTTATTTTCTTGTTTTCTGTCTTGTGACCATTACACAACTCTAAGCTGATATTTCTGAAGAAGAACATTTAAACTTGACTAGGGAAAAGTTGAGAATAAACTATATATTACTAGTTTGTGTATCATTAGAATACATTATTTTAGTACCTAGTGTACTGGTGGTTATGGGATTATGTTGGTACACAGCAAGCTTCAAGCCTGCAACTTCGTAAGAATAAAATGAATGCAGCCCTCTGGAAGTCTACAAAGTCTCTTTTCCACTCTCATCCAAAAAAAAGGTGGCTTATCACTGCTTTAAATTATTTGTGCATAAAATTAAGGTTAAGTTGTAATTGTACCTAATAACTTAGTTTTTAAAACAACTTTTATAGTATTGGAAGCAATTTTTTATTTTGGCTTTTTAATAATGGTTACCACAGATATGTCACTGAATAGTTACTGTATCTATCTATACATTTAATTTACATTGATACAGCCATGCAGTGCTCTTATAAGCCAAAACAAGATGGTACACACAAGCATCCTATGCTTATTTGCACAGAAATATGATATAATATTTTTAAGGTAATATTAAAATAGAATTTGTTTTTGCTTGTTTGTTTGGGCATTTTTAGATTATTTATTCTATAGAAAATACCTGTTCTTCTTTTATGTTGACAGATTAATTAATTGTGAAAAAATATATTGTATAAACTAATATGGTGGACCATGTTAAATTCTATTATTTCACAACTCTTAAATAGATCTAATTATCTTAAATTTAAAAAAAATATTGAAGTACCATATAACAATTTAAATAAATAAGGGAGATTTTGTAAAGTAAGTGAGAAAAGAAAATTTCTCTCATAAATAAAAAGCCATCTTTATTTAGAGGTCATTTTTGTGTCTCTCAAAGGAAACCTTTTAAAGCAGTTTTCACTGTATCTAAAAGATGATTATATGTATATAAATAGTGTGTGTATAACATGTAGATACTTGAGTCATGATGTCATGATTAATGAAAATAAAGCTGCTTTGTTGAAGAAGAGAAATGAGTTTTTCAAACAATTACTATAAACATTGTGTTCTGTATATAAAATTTTAGCTACTATACTAAAATACAGATAAAATTAATGATTACAGTATTTGCAATAATAGAAAATGGATTCTTCTCAACTAATTTTATTTTTAACACTGAGAAGATCAAGATGTTATAAAGAACCCAAGGAGTGGGTACATATATTAATTAGAAACTTTAATTATCAGTTTCATTATAGCAGAATTAGACCCAAAAAATTATTAATTTGATATTTACTGTTATTGATCATGTCTTGAAAAATTAGTTCACATTCATATTAATACAGGTATTAATACAGGCCAAAATATAATGATTAACAAAAAAAAAAACTTCAATATTCTTGTAAAGAATTTTTATTTTTGATTCATTAGATGTTATTTACTTGCTGTTGGTATTGCTAATGTATTTTCATAAGATAAAGCTTTTAAATTCTGTTTAAATTTTTACAATTATATTTTATTTTTGTATACAAATGTTATTTTATGATTATGACAACAGTAAGCTTTTAGTAATGACATGAAGGTGAACAGCAACTAGACCTTCATGTTGTTACTATATTCCTAAACAGTTGGTGAATAGAATAAAACAATTCTATTCACCAACTATTTGCTAAGTTGTTTCACAAGCATGGTCTCAGTGTTAAGTATCAGACAGAAGTCAAAGATTATAATTTGGATTTATACCATCAGAGTAGAGATTTTAACTTTTTTCATTTCTGTAAGTCAAGGTCATCAGATCACGCTTTTGCACCTCATTAAAAAAAGGCTCAATTTTTTTTTGTAATGCAAAATTTTATTATTACTTAAAAAATATTTATCCAAAAAGTATATTTTAACAAAAACTGTATTTTCTTTGAATATTTATAAATGTATATATGATTTATCCCTCTGCTTGTATTCTGTTTTTTAAAAATTTCAATATATAACTAGTTCAGACACCATTATTTTCTAGGAATTATCACATCCACAGACTCTGAAAATACTAGCCAATCAATGACTTTTTACTTATTTTACCCAGATGCATTTCAGAAATTATAATATTTTTCTCCTCGGTGGACTTTCTTTCATACAAGCTAAACTATGCACAAACACTTTTGTCCATAAACTAGAACCAATTAAGGGAGATTGTTTAAAAAATATTATGCAAAAAAGAAGGATGTTGGATATTTTAAAGATTATATCAGATGCTAAAATGACTTGTGACCAATTACAATTAACTATTTAAGATATGGACATTGATCTGACAGGTGGAACTACCAATAATGATAGAAGATAATAGATAATTGTAGGAACAAGTAAAAAATACAACTAGATATGAAGCAATGGAGTAGGATCACCTCAAAAACCTATAGAGTTTTCTTGACTTCAGTGAGTTCAACAGAAGTCAATCTGTCAAATATTCTTGATAATATTGTGGAAAAGGGTAATGAAGTTGCATCTAATATGTCTGTTTGAAATTGTACTTGGAAATTAACACATTTACAACACTACTGGTGAATTTGCATATTTAACTCTAGCCATCACAATGGCACATCACCATAGTGAAATGAATGCTGTTTAGTTAAACTTATATATGATTATCATTATAATTAAACTTATAATGAATTTAACTTCTTATATTGAGTTTATCCTTGATATGTGGCTGTACATAAAGAATTTTTACTATTGTATATCATTTTTAAAGCATAAACATTTATTTGATAGAAATGATATATGAAGTTGAAGTATAATGAATGCATAAGCATGTGTGTTGTAGCCAGGTTCTGGATATAAGTGACCACAGCTGTTGATTGACACATTTATAGCTATAGTGGCCATCATCTTGCCACCATAGCTCTAAATGTGTGCTATAAATAGAAAATGGTGGCCATCATTTTCTTGTAAAGCTGTTTTATAAAAATGGCGATAATACTGTGGCTGTACTTTGGAAATTTTGTCTTTGTCAGAGTTTACTCTGAGAATCACTACTCAAAGTTATCAGGAAAAGATAACTTGATTTGAGAAAATGAGATCTGAAAGTTTACCACAAAGCTATTACTTCATAAGTTGTTGAAAATGTCACTACAACTTTGAACAGTCAATGAATAATGTTACAGGTTCCAATAGTGTGTGTAGTGTTACAGCAGTCTTATATATTCTATTGCATAGTGTGGAAGATACTGAGAAAGTTGGTGTATTGTCATCTGGATAAGATCAGCCACAACCAGCAGTTGTTTGCATTTGGCAAGGAAATTCAATTGACCTTTGCACTAACTTATCTTGCCAGAATGGAAGTAAATACATCGTGGCCATGAAAAGATTCTTTGTAGCGACTAGTCTATTTGTGCCTAATACAAGATTCGTATCTGTGATCTGCAGAACTAGGAATTCATTTACTCTGCTGCTAGATTGATAAAAATTTAATATGACATAACTTGATGATTGAAAGTTGATTATTTACATAATGAATACTATCACTAGAATTTTTAAAAGATTAACACTTACATTTAGTTTTCTATATGAATTTTCATGAATGTTTGTATATAAAAGTAATATGAAATAATGGCAACAAAATTGCAAACAGTTTATATAATTTTAATTAAATAAATACAATAATACTATTTAATTTTAAATTTATAAATTAAACTATTTTTCAGTCATCTTCTACATCACTGTTTTCAAGCTTTAATGGATCATGGTGCTCATACATCTGAGCATTTAGCAGATGCTTATTATCAACATTGCTTAACTGTTAAGCATTCTTCAGTTCAAGTGAAAGATAGGACAATTCAACTTGGTCTTTCTCTAGGTAGGTTTTTGCATATATGTGAAAATATAAATTATATTGTTGTTCATATACACATCTAAAAGTTCTTTATAAGAAAATTAAAGTTAGTCAATATACCTGTATACAATAAAGAAAATTTCTTACAATTAAAACCTGTATAAATTACTCAGTCATGACAAATTAGAAGTGTTGTGTTGTTTTACAGTAGACCCCCCTATAACGCTTAGATACGTTCCACGCTAACCGAAAATTACGTTGTAGGAATGATTAAATACATGAGCCATTCGCAGCCCGATAGGTGGGAACTNATTAAATGCTTTAACTGCATGTGGTTTCCATGTGCCTGCCATGTTTGCATATTTCTAATACAGCATTTGTATATTGTAATAATATCTGAAAGAATAAATTTTGTGATTATAATGCCCATTTTTTTAATTGTTGTTGATTATAACACACATAACATAGCAAAAAAATATGTTAACATGTATTTTTTTGCTAAAAAAACATATTAGATTTATTAATTATTAAGATCTGTATAATAATGATTAATAATAATTTCATTTATTTAGACGGCATTAGATGTTCGCCAGTGTGTATTTGGTGGTCATAACTTGCATGTTGCCATAGCACACGAAGATCTGGCATATGCTTCTTATGTTCATGAATACAGTTCTGGAAAATTTCAACATGCTAGGTAAGGTTATTAAACAATTCTTTAATTTAATTATGATTTTTAAAAAACAAAACACACACTTTTAATAATTTTTTTTTACTCTGTTCTGTGGACACTAAGAGGGCCTTTTTTTAGCAAGCCCATTATAGGTTTGTCCTGACTCACAATAGGTGTTTTTTGGGGGCAGCTGGGTGGGAAGGACAGGACCATCCATGAAAAATTCTGGGGTTTTTCCATCATGTCTAGATTCAATTCTGGGTCCCCAGAGTGGTAGACTGCCACTTTAACTGCTTGCTCATCCTGCCAGTGCCTTTTTAATATCAATACCAGATTATTTTATCATTAATAATGCTGAACTAATGGGAATCTTCTTTAATATACCAGGATAAGTTACTTATTATTTTGGTATATATTTTAAGTCTTATTTTTCTGTTACAGTAATATCTAAAGATAATACTGTATATAATAGGATAAAGAATATTAATATCTACTGTTTTTTTTTTTTTTAATTTGATACACTAACAATTTTATATACTACTTATTATTTAAATATTTTAATTAGTGTAACTGTTAGTATATTAGAAAAGATAGTTTGTATGAATTTTAGATGTATTTTAGTTCTGCATTGTCCATATTTGAGGCAGAGCATTAGCAAAACCTCAAATAGAATTGAATTGTGTTCATTCTCAAAATCTTTTTGATCAATTTTGATTAAACATTGTCATTTTTCATTAGTTGAGATGAGGAATTCAAGAATGCAAACAAATAGGGTCTCTGACTTCATTTTCAAGATATAAGGTCATTTCATGAGTGCATGCGACAAAACAGTATCACAAATTGTGCAATGATGTCCCAAGGTCACTAGCACATCTTCTGTGTTGCTTATTTCTATAAGTTAAGTTTGTTCTCAAATTTGATGGCCTAATTTTGATAAAACTTTGCCATTTTATATTGCTTGCAATAAAGAGTCCAAAAACAATAAATTTAAATGTAGAAACTGGTCCTTGATTTTATTTTTGATATAAAATGGGGTCAAAGTGATAATGTCCATGCTCCTTGAGCACTTCTTACAGAATTTAGGGGTGAAATAAAAAGAAACAAAGCAATTGGCATCAATTGCTTTTAGTTTTGGTTTTTTTTTTCGTATATGGCAATGCGACACATGGACAATTTGCTGAGGCGAATACCTCTCTGGAGGTCTAGGGAGTTTTATGGGAAATTGGCTCCTATTTAGATGTTACTGATGTGAAGAAAACTTGGAAATCTCCACATAGCTCCCATTGGCCAGGCATGAACTCAACCAACTACCACTGTAAAGTGGTTTTATCTACTTTGTCACTGGTAGGCATTGGTATCCATTACTTTGTTCTTGGATTGCCTCTCCATGTCATAAAGTGCAAGGATCATCTGTGTGCCCAGCCAGTGAAATGATCACCCCTCTCATGACTTGCAGATGTAAAGAGAGTCTGTTTTATAGTGACAAATGTGTCTGAGATGGTCAGGTACAAGGATCACCTTCTCTGTGTCTAACAAGTGCAAAGATTGCTTCTTTCTTTCCGACTCTGCCTCATTTCTCCTACAATATGACAAAGTTGGACAATGTCCTCCTTAAAAATCATTTTATGTAATTGACATTAAATGATTTGTATTTATGTTGAAAACCTAAATATTGTACATTTACAGGTCAGTTATAATAAAATCTTCCATATTGTCCACTGTGATAATTGGACGAAAAATATTTGGAAGTTAAAGCTTTATTACCTATTCAAATGAAAAACTAAATTAAAAAAATAAATACAATTTATTATTGAATAGTAATTTCTCATATAAACTTTGAAAATAAATTCTTATTTCAGGTAGTATTTTGAGTGATGCAGGTTGGTTTCTTGATGCTGAAAAAATAATGAAATCATGTATGGAAATCTGTAAACAGTTGAAAGATCCTCCTCATCTAAATATATTGTTGGAATGTTGCATTAGGTAATTAACAAGTATATTTATAAAATTTTCATGCATGTTACAAAAATCTTTATAAATTTTATTGTTAAGAATATATTAAAAATGTTTGATATCAGTTTTGTAACTATATCCTTATATATATATATATATAGTGTTACATAATACTAACTATTTTTATATATATTTACAAAATAGAAATTTTAAGTCCTTTGGTTTTAATAAGTAGTTTTGTAAACTAGTGTTTTGAACAAATGATAAGTTACCACTTTCAGCAGAATATATTTTATTTGTGAAATGTTTATTGGCTGACCAGACAGCCATCCTCGGATTGAACCACTAATAGATTGAATATAGAATACTGTATTTCTGCACTTTTTTTTGTTTTTTGCCATTTTTTATTAATCGAGATGCCAAAAATATGCAAATTATTTTTAAAAGTACATTATATCAGTATTTATTCACTATTTATTCAACATTTAGCACAATACAGTTCTATATAGAGAGAAATTTTTCCTCTTAAATCTGCTGACCCATCTTTGACTAGCCTTAAATTCAAGGGAAGAAATATTTTGTCTGAGCAATATACTGCAAGCCCATGATTGCAGAATATCATGTGTTACAGCACAGCCATCGTTGCATGTTTGTTCAACATATCGTAACAGTTTTTTCTCAAGTTATTTATACTTTCCAGTCGTGGGACCACAAAATGTTCTCACATTGGACCTTTGTTGCTTAGAGCTTGTTTTTGTTTACACCAGTAGTGAACAAGTGCCTCACTGATACCAAATTTTCATTTGTCCCCTCAATTTCTGTTCTGCTCTGCAAAGCAGATTAGTTCAACAGTTTTACCAGACAGTATAAAATTAGTTTTTTATTGCATCTTAAAGTTGCAGTTAACTCTACTCAGTATGACACTAATAAACCTACTAAAGTGCTATAAAGCATTACAGTTAAAAACAGCCTTTATTCTTCACTCTTTTAAGCCTCCAGTAAGTACAAAGATAATGTACTGTTAAGTTTATACAAGGAAATGAGGGTAAACGAAGCACCTATATACTGTGAAATTTCTTGTTGGCTGATTTATCCTATCTCCTACACTAAGTGATTCAGTATGAGAAGTCTTGCATTTTTCATGTGAAAAATACTTTAATATTTTGTTTTCCCTAAAAACATTTCTTAGAAATATGGGAGCAAAAGATATTCAGGTAAAAATATGCATGGAAATATGATACATACAGTTTCAAAATTTAAAAAATGGTTAATGCTATTTATGATTAAATAAGAATTTAAGCGATTTTTCATAACATGTTTGCATATTGCTAACTTTTCAATGTTGAAATTGTTGATACATTGTAAAGTTAACAATATACAAACAACATACTATGAAGAGTTTATGCATCAATTATAAAGATGCTAGTTACCTGCCCACAGCTTGTAAGTACAGTATGTTTTAAACCATTAAAAGGGACATTGATACTTGTCTTCAGTTTATTAATGAATTTTTCTCATTTATAGTGTATTTTTATTTTATTTGTATTTGATGTATTTATTTTACTTATCTGTTTTCACTTCTTAAATTTTAAAAATATATGTATTCTACAATCTGTATTTGAATTTATTAATGGTTAATCATGAGGATGGTTTCCCAATCAACCACAAATGTTTGATAAATAAGATATTTTTCTGGAAGATGTGAGAACTGTTATTGTTTGATTTTTACCTGAAAAGTTACATAAAATAAAAGCACAGTTAACACAGGAAGATTATTTAAGATTGATTTTATTTTAATATATATTTACTAGAAAAATTTAAAACATTTTTCTTGCCATTTAATTGAATANTATGAAGTAGCTTTATCAGTTGGTCATTTAGCTTCTCTCTATAATTATGATATGTTACTCTTTGAGAAAGCAGAGAAGTTGTATTGTCGATCAGTAAGCATTGGTAAGAGAACATTTTATTATATATTTTGTTCTAGAAATATATTAGTGTTCAGAAAATTTTGTGAATAAACTTTAGCTATTTCACGAATTTATATTACACTTCAAACAAGTTTTTTCATTTTCCTGATTCAAAATAAATTAATTTTCTAATTTATTGTTGGGCTGCAGTTTTTAAATTGTAGACTTATACATTCTCACTCTTGTCCGTTGTCTGTCTTTTGTTAATCTTGAATGGAGTTAGATGAAAATTGAGATCAGCTAGGGCCAGAGGTTCAAATAACTATATACAAACTTCTGGCCAGGACTGGAAGTCACATGATTTTTCAAATTAAAATATGATTTAAAATTGCAGCTCAGCATTGTGACAATGTCATAATAATATATACTGTGTTTGATTTTTACTATTTACTTCTAATGATTGGTAATTTTTAAATGATGCTAATTTTTATTAATATTAAATGAATAGATAAAAAGGTTTCTGTAATTGTGTAATGCAGTGCAGCATATTAATGATACTGCACTTTGTGCATTATCATATTAATATGTCAAATACTTTCTAGCATTATAGGTCTATAATATAAAATTGATAAAAAATGAATTTGAATACTACAAATACTTTCAACGTTGCATCATATGTACAGACAATGCTTCTAGCATCTCTGGTGTAATTTGAGATAAGTAGTAGACTATATCAATGGAAAAAATTTTTAAAAAGGATTAGCGTATGAAAAAGATTGGGAACTGATTTAGAGCAATGCACAAATAAAAGAATTAACTGAAATAATAATTCATAGCAGTATAAAATACGGAGTTTAAATCTTAAATCACAGCAAGAAAATTCTCTAGTAAAGCAGATATATAGCCTATGTTTGTAATGATATACACAAATAATACACCAGAAATTTGAAAACGTTAGAAAAGTTACGTTAATGATTAGATGCTAAAGTAAATCTTGATATATGTAACTGGCATAAAAAATTAGTATATGAAAAAAGTATTTCAACAATATAAAATATTTTATGCTTTAAATGTAAAAGTATGAGTTCTAATGTTAAAAGTTTATGAAAAATTTTTAAAACTTGGATACCATATTTTTATTTCTTGGATGAGATTTCTTCTATAATTTTAAATGTAATATAAATCTGGAACTTTGCCTTAATTTGACGTTACATTCCAAAACTTGTATGAGCTGAAGCTGGGTTATGAGTCTGAAAATGTTTCTCATTGATTAAAAAATTTTTGGTCTAGATTTTTTAATATTTTAATCCTATAGAATCTTAGTTTTTCTAAATTTATATTTTTACAGAGTACATTTATTCTGTTTATATTCTGTTGATTTACATATGTAATATTTATGTAAGAATGTGAAGAGACAATGTAGTTATTGACTAATCTATGATTGAGAAAAACATTTTCTCTAATTACTCAAATATTTAAAAAACTGATACAATTATTTTTTGAAATCTCCATAATTATCATTTCAGGAAGATATGTAAAAACTTATTTATTCACTTATTAAAATCTTATTCCATATTACAGGCATATAGGTGGAGTTTAGAAGCATTAAAATGTTTAAACTCAAGTTTACCTATTAAGGTAAGATAATCTAAAAGTATTCTCAATTCAGTTTAAAAATTGTAGTTTTCTTATTATTCTAATAAGTTAAATTGTAAAATTTAGGAATAAGATTGATTTCAGAAATCAGATAACTTTTGGCTTTGTTATCAAAGTGAACTGTTGAAAATAATGTAGTAATAATGTACTATTTTATTCCATATCTGTACTTCATTATAAGAATGTTTTTGGTCACATCTTGATATCTTGAATTATAAATTTTTAATAGGATTTTATATTGAATAATTTTTCTTTAAGAAAATTTTGTGAACATAATATAAATTGATTATAATATAATAATAATTAAATTTGATCAGATTTCTTATGTTTTATTAATGCATAAATATGTATATTTTTAATTTAGACAATTATTCATGTTCTTCGTCAAGCTGCTAAGGTGAGTTATTTTGCTAAATAATAGAATAAAAATATTTAAAATTTTATATTAATTGAAATTCTAAGAGAAAATATTTTTTAAACTTAGGCCTGTGTAATAAAGAGATATTTCAAAAAAGCTGGTCTTCTAATAAAACAAGCATTGCATCTGTCAAGGTAAGTTATTCAAATTACTTACTATGCTGCTAGGTTTTTAGTATTTCTACTAATTACCATCAATAAAATAACTAGAAACAATAATGTTTTGCTATTTTAAAAATTGTTAATGGATAATTTTAGTGAAACTTTAATTATGAGTAGAGTTCATTGTATATGTTTGTAGCAGTATATGTTGTTGATAGGATTTTAACTTAGGATATAAAATTGTAGCAAAGACACTTTCTGTATTTGTTAAAGGTGTATTAGTCTGAAGTTTGGCAGAATTGAATTATTTAATAATTGAGAACTGTCAAGAATCAATTGTGTCCAAGAATAGAGTTCTCAAGAACAAGGAACAAATCTTACACAATGATGCCACCTTGCTTTGCACGGCTTTGGAGTAGTTTGTAATTAATGATAAAAGTATTTAAATGAAAGAATGAAGAACTATCCAGTTTCAAAAAGCTGATTTTTAGATAGATTGTAAATAATGTGACTTGCTTGGCTTAGACACAGATTAGTTAAAAATTAGAGTATTAAAATTATTTGAGAATTCATATTTGGTCATAAAATAGTTTGGTCTGTTTGATCCAGCAATGTTGAGATTAATTATTGAATTTGCAATGGCTGGACATGACTAGTTCTCAGTTCTCAAATTGGCTTGTTCGTTTTCATGTGTGCTCATAAGGATTACTTCTGAGAACTTTCAGTATTCAAATACCTAGCACAAAGTTCAAAAGAACAATGAGAACTTTTTGGAATATAATAATTCTTAATTCTTGTATGTGAACACTCTCATCACTATTAGTGTACAAGTTACATTAATTTAAATATATTTAGATGTACTATTGTTGTCACACTAGAATGAGTTTCACAATTATAATTAAATTAAATAATTTAGAAAGTCCTGGAAGAAAAGAATTGGTCCAGAGCAGGACTTGAACCCACAACTCCTGCTTACCATGCTGCCAGTTATGCTACCTGAGCCTCCTGACCAATCTCCTCTTCCATACATATTTAATAATTAAATATATATGGAAGTGTACATATTTAATAATAAAAGTAAAAGTAGAGTGCCCATGAGTTATCCATATCTGGCAGACATTAGTTTTGATAGCCATTAATGATGGTGAATGACTACCATTATTATTAAACTAATATTATAAATTTAAATCAATATATAAAACCTATTTGACATGAGAGTTTTAGAAAAATTAGTGGTGTTAATAGATGGATACAGTGGCAAAATCATATTAAAAATGAAGACATAAGGAAAAACCTTGAGATAACAAATATTCAGTTGAGAGTAAGCAAGGCTAATCTGAGGTGGTTTGGCCATTATGGAAAGAAAGACTAGCAAACATATTCAAAGCTAAAATCAAAGGGATGATCTAGATCAGTGGTTCCCAATTAGTTTTTCCTGCATACCACTTCAAGAAAGAGCTCAAACTGGTGTACCCCTTATAGCAGAAATTCATATTAATCCATACTAATATTATAAATTTGAAGGTCATTCTGCCTGTCTGTCTGTTACCTTTTCATGTATAAACTGCTGAACAGGTTTTAATAAAATTTGGCACAGAGATAGCTTACATGTTGGAGGTGGACATAGGCTGCATTTTACTGCGAGAAAATATCTTACTCCCATGAGAAAATTCAATATAATGCAAGCGAAGCTGTAGGTAGACAGCTAGTGATAAATAGAATAAGTTTTTTTACATTTATTACCTTTAAAATACAATTCTAATAATAATGAAAATAACATAAGGTTATTTAATTTTAATGTGACAAATGTGCACGATTTTCTTTGCACAACTTTGTAAAATCTGGTTGCTTTTTGGTCAGCTTCAGTCTTAAGTCATCTTTGAGTTGAAGTCGGTGACGATGTTTAGTTTTCATGTTTGTCATGACCAAAAATCCACTCTCGCAGAGAGATGTTGTGCAAAATGGTAGTGAATATTTTATTGCTGCTTTGCTGACATGATGATAATGATAATTGTACAATTAACACAATTTGAATTTGTGTTAATTGTACAATTTTTGTTTCTTGCATAAGAATTTCATTTAGGTATTGTCACAAATGCATTTTTTTAATGAAATTTCGAGAATATTTTTAGTTATAAATAAACAAATTTGTGCATTTGACATCATGTTGTAAATTGCCGAATTTTTGATGGTCCACTTATTATTTTTTTTCGATTGCTTCATCTCATGCATTTAAATTTTAAATTGACCGATTTCAGATTGCCACGCATACCCCTTCATGCAATTTCACGTACCCCTGGGGATACGCGTACCACTAATTGGGAACCATTGATCTAGATGAAGGTGGATTGATAGTGTTAAGCAGGCTTTAGAGGAAAGGAATTTAACTTTAATCCAGGCTAAAAACTTGTCTGTTGATAGGAGAGTTTGGGGAAAAAAGTAGTGGTTGGTAGTATAAAAGTGTGATATTTTTTTTAACCATGTTGACCTGTACACACTCTGGGTATCAGCAGAAATTAATGATGATGTTTGTTACTTCTAGGCAGTACTATGAGCAAATAAGTAATTTTTTAAGGGGGGAAAGTGTATTTACAAAACATGTCATGAAATTAAAATCATTGAATTGTAATGGAATTTTTTAAAAATTCAATATTTTTTATATTTAGTAAGACAATTCAAAATTGTAACAATTATATTTAGTTTGAAAAAGTACAAATCAAGTTTAGTTAAATATAGGAATTGTTATTTGAAATTGAATGAAGTTTTTAAATATATTTACAGAGAACACTTTGGATGCAAGCATCCAAAAACAGCTGACACATTACAGGATTATGGCTTCTACCTGTTAAATGTTGATTCAAATCGCCAGTCTGTTAAAGTCTATCAGGTAAGTTTTTAAATCAAATTTAACCTTGATGTAAAATGAATTAATTAGTTTTTAAACAAACTATAATATATTCTTGTACTCATTATTAAATGCTTTAACTGCATGTGGTTTCCATGTGCCTGCCATGTTTGCATATTTCTAATACAGCATTTGTATATTGTAATAATATCTGAAAGAATAAATTTTGTGATTATAATGCCCATTTTTTTAATTGTTGTTGATTATAACACACATAACATAGCAAAAAAATATGTTAACATGTATTTTTTTGCTAAAAAAACATATTAGATTTATTAATTATTAAGATCTGTATAATAATGATTAATAATAATTTCATTTATTTAGACGGCATTAGATGTTCGCCAGTGTGTATTTGGTGGTCATAACTTGCATGTTGCCATAGCACACGAAGATCTGGCATATGCTTCTTATGTTCATGAATACAGTTCTGGAAAATTTCAACATGCTAGGTAAGGTTATTAAACAATTCTTTAATTTAATTATGATTTTTAAAAAACAAAACACACACTTTTAATAATTTTTTTTTACTCTGTTCTGTGGACACTAAGAGGGCCTTTTTTTAGCAAGCCCATTATAGGTTTGTCCTGACTCACAATAGGTGTTTTTTGGGGGCAGCTGGGTGGGAAGGACAGGACCATCCATGAAAAATTCTGGGGTTTTTCCATCATGTCTAGATTCAATTCTGGGTCCCCAGAGTGGTAGACTGCCACTTTAACTGCTTGCTCATCCTGCCAGTGCCTTTTTAATATCAATACCAGATTATTTTATCATTAATAATGCTGAACTAATGGGAATCTTCTTTAATATACCAGGATAAGTTACTTATTATTTTGGTATATATTTTAAGTCTTATTTTTCTGTTACAGTAATATCTAAAGATAATACTGTATATAATAGGATAAAGAATAAAAATTTGAAAAACTAAAAAAAATAGAATTTATTTATTTATTGTTATTTATTAGTAAACTAATACATTATTAAAGTGACAAATCTTATCAAAACTAACAACATCAGAAAAATTTACTTTCATTAAGATAATCAAAATTTAAAAAGTGAAATTATACTGCTAAATTACATGTACTTTTTGCATCACCATTGCCATTTATATACATAAATATGTTTTTTACATTTTATACTTTCATTCTTAGACCAGTTCATTAACAACATAATGAACTAGTCTAAAAATGCAGCTTGTACAGTACATATTAACCACTCTGCAGTGATTGACGGATATACCCATCAAGGATGATCATGTGGCACTGGAGAATGATGTCTATATCTGCAAAAAATTTTTTGCACAAAAAAATATCGCCAAAAACTAGCCAAAAATTATTGCAAAAAAAATTCACATAAAAAAGGAATTATGTGACAATAAAGAAAGATTTTTCTTTACTAGACATAACTGTATAAAAAATTTTTCTGAAATGGAAACGAGAAAAATGCGTGGGAAAATTCTTTAAAAGTTTGTTACACTATTAACCTTTGTACAGAGGATTAGTCAGATATGGCGCTATCACGATGTAGTGGAGAATAAACGTGGAAAATTCTTTAAAGGTTTCCCACGTTTATTCTCCACTACATCGTGATAGCGCCATATCTGACTAATCCTCTGTACAAAGGTTAATAGTGTAACAGACAATTAAAATTGATATCAGAAAGTGACTGTACTACAGAAAATTTATTACTAAAATAATGAATGGAAAAGAATTCACTTTAACATTAGTGACATCTTATAATATGTGTATTAATGTTTCTGTTTGAATCAAAAAGCTAATATATATACAAATGTTGTGAATGTCTTTAATTGAATTTAAAAAATATAAAATAGTTACTAACTTCAAGGCTTTCTTAATAACAATTAATCATTGTTTGAATATCACTATATTACATACCATAGTTTGTGTAGACCTGTCTCTGAATTTTTAAAAGAATTTAGAGAGAGTAATTGTTTGATAGTTTCTGATAATATAAATGCTGTTAATTGTAATTATTTTAATAAAGGGAAGATATTAAAATGTTTATAAATTTAACTTTTATTAGAGAACATGCTGATAAAGCAATGGCCATAATGAAGCATCTTTTACCTGAAGATCACCTACTACTGGCATCATCAAAACGAGTTAAAGGTAATGATTTTAGTATTAGTATTATTCAAAGTTTAATTAATAAAAGATTTGATCAAAAATAATAAAATTTTGTTCACTAGATTTTTTAATATTTTAATCCTATAGAATCTTAGTTTTTCTAAATTTATACAGTCATTTATATAAATTCAGAAAAACCAGAAATTCGTTAGGATTGAAAAACCAACAATTGTCTTCACAACAGTTGTCTACATACACTACTAAACAAACAATTCCTGAAAGAGAATAGAAAATGCTACAATCTTAGTTTCAGAACACTGTTTCCTCAATTTGTCTTTTTATTTATTTATTTTTTTAGTTGAGATTTCAATAAATTAAATTTTTCACTTAGTCGTGAATAACTTTTGACTTCTTTGTATTCTAGCATTTAGTTAATAAATGATCAGTTGTTTGACCTAAGGCTAGGTCAAACAACTGATCATTTATTAAATTCTTCAGACATTATTGTATGATTCAAACTTCAGTGTATATGACTCCAAAGTTTTTCATCCTGTGGAAACTTCCCATTCTGAGAATTACCTCACTACAATTATAAATAAAAAAACAAACATGATAACTAATTCTATATTATTCCTCTTCAAGCTTAGGTGGTTATTTTTTTTCATTCTGAAAACAAAGTTTCTTATTAGAATGTTTTCTTTGTCAGACTATTCACAAGACATCTTTCAAAATCTGCATTGTATGTCACACAGATCATTCTAAAATGTTTATTTAAAATTTCTTAACTTGGTATCATAATAACATAAAGAAAATGAATGCATGCTTCAGGAAACCAAATGATTTTATTTAGAAACTTTTTTGTTTTCTTAAAGTAAGAAAAATATTTTTCCATTTAAAGCAGCATGCTGACAACTACCTTATCAATTTTTCAGAAGATTTTTCTTTTCGTTTCTTTCCCGTTTAAGAATTTTGTATGTTGTGTTTAGGATGGATCTATTTATTATGTGTGATTTTTATTTCATCCAGTCTTATCAATGACATTGATGTCTGTTTCATTATTGTATTGTTTTACCTGTTATAACAATTCAAGATATCAACTGAAATTTGAATTTGTTTTGCTCTTTGTTGTTCAATGTGTTTGAGTGATGTTTGTGGAATAAAGTTTCTGTTGTACATTCTTTTTAGATCAGTTCATTGTTTGGTTTGTTTTGTTACTTTAATAGATACAGATCATGCTGTCATTTGTGCCAAGTGTCACTTCCATTGACATATTATTTTGTTTTAGAGATCTGTTTGTGTTGTCAGCAAGAACAGTGTTCAGACCATTGATATAGTAAGTTTTTGGTGACAGTTATACTATAACCAAGGAGACTGGCATAATTTTTAATTGTAAGCTTCTACATAATTTACAAGTGAAAACTATTAGTTTGGATGTTATCCAGATCAGCACAATCACTTGTAATTTTGAATAACAAACTGATATGATTGGAAGCAGGTCACTCACTTTATTTACAAGTGAGTGAGTGTAATTTTTATACTTAGAACTAGGTGTTTGAATCAATTATCATAATATGAATTCCTGTTTAACAAAATTTATTTTATGATTGCTTTGAGTTGATTTTATGATTAATTGGGTTTGATTGCAAACTCTTCTGAAGTTTTACAAGAAAAATTATATATAAAATAAATATGAATTTCATTTAAAAAACATGCATTTTAACTTGTGTTGAAAACAATAGTAACAATGTTAAAAAGTGAAATAAATGTAGAACTTAGGAGTCAATGATATAATTATTTGTTTTAACAGCTCTTATTTTAGAAGAAATTGCCATTGATAACCATGATAAAGAAGCAGAACAACGTTTGTTATCCGAAGCTCAAGATTTACATATGTCAGCTCTTTTTGTTGCACAAAGAACTTTTGGAGAAATGAATGTTCAGACAGCCAAACATTATGGAAACTTGGGTCGACTATATCAGTCAATGAAGCGTTTCAAGGTAAAAATAATTAAAATTTAAAAGTTTTTTTTTTTATGTGTAATACTAACATAGTTTATTAATTTTAAAAAAAAGGAAGCTGAAGAAATGCATCTTAAAGCCATTCAGATAAAAGAAAAATTGTTAGGTGGAGATGATTATGAAGTAGCTTTATCAGTTGGTCATTTAGCTTCTCTCTATAATTATGATATGTTACTCTTTGAGAAAGCAGAGAAGTTGTATTGTCGATCAGTAAGCATTGGTAAGAGAACATTTTATTATATATTTTGTTCTAGAAATATATTAGTGTTCAGAAAATTTTGTGAATAAACTTTAGCTATTTCACGAATTTATATTACACTTCAAACAAGTTTTTTCATTTTCCTGATTCAAAATAAATTAATTTTCTAATTTATTGTTGGGCTGCAGTTTTTAAATTGTAGACTTATACATTCTCACTCTTGTCCGTTGTCTGTCTTTTGTTAATCTTGAATGGAGTTAGATGAAAATTGAGATCAGCTAGGGCCAGAGGTTCAAATTAACTATATACAAACTTCTGGCCAGGACTGGAAGTCACATGATTTTTCAAATTAAAATATGATTTAAAATTGCAGCTCAGCATTGTGACAATGTCATAATAATATATACTGTGTTTGATTTTTACTATTTACTTCTAATGATTGGTAATTTTTAAATGATGCTAATTTTTATTAATATTAAATGAATAGATAAAAAGGTTTCTGTAATTGTGTAATGCAGTGCAGCATATTAATGATACTGCACTTTGTGCATTATCATATTAATATGTCAAATACTTTCTAGCATTATAGGTCTATAATATAAAATTGATAAAAAATGAATTTGAATACTACAAATACTTTCAACGTTGCATCATATGTACAGACAATGCTTCTAGCATCTCTGGTGTAATTTGAGATAAGTAGTAGACTATATCAATGGAAAAAATTTTTAAAAAGGATTAGCGTATGAAAAAGATTGGGAACTGATTTAGAGCAATGCACAAATAAAAGAATTAACTGAAATAATAATTCATAGCAGTATAAAATACGGAGTTTAAATCTTAAATCACAGCAAGAAAATTCTCTAGTAAAGCAGATATATAGCCTATGTTTGTAATGATATACACAAATAATACACCAGAAATTTGAAAACGTTAGAAAAGTTACGTTAATGATTAGATGCTAAAGTAAATCTTGATATATGTAACTGGCATAAAAAATTAGTATATGAAAAAAGTATTTCAACAATATAAAATATTTTATGCTTTAAATGTAAAAGTATGAGTTCTAATGTTAAAAGTTTATGAAAAATTTTTAAAACTTGGATACCATATTTTTATTTCTTGGATGAGATTTCTTCTATAATTTTAAATGTAATATAAATCTGGAACTTTGCCTTAATTTGACGTTACATTCCAAAACTTGTATGAGCTGAAGCTGGGTTATGAGTCTGAAAATGTTTCTCATTGATTAAAAAATTTTTGGTTGCTTTAAAGTAGCTGTACTTTTTCCTTATTTTTTTTAGCTGAATTCTGAGAGTTAGAAAGGCGAATTAATCAATTTTAATTTTTTTCTAATAAACCAAATTATTATTATTATTATTATAGTGGCATTGGTGGAATATATTGTATATTGCATATTTAAGTTACCAGTGCCTAGCACTATACCAAACCAGGGTCCACATAGCACTAGGGATAACTACCTTACATGTTGTTATGTTTATCTGCTGTTTGTGTATGTATCCATAAGAATTTCTTGATTGTGGCATATGTTTGTGTGGGAGCCTTTTGTAATGACACATAGGGCTTAACACTCTTGTGATGCACTAATGTTTCTAGATATTGGTGTATGTGGCATGACGCCTGTGCAGGAGATGACTACTGGCACAGTAAGTCCTTTTGAATCATATTGTAATTATTATAGCTTGAATTGAACATTATCAGTTCTTAAAATGAAGACGAGTGTTATTAATTTTATAAATTTCCTAGTATAGATGAAATATAACTGTATGAAAATTGCAATAAGAAAATGTATTTATAATAAATCTTATTAAAATTTAAGTTGGCTTACAGAATTCTTTCAAGTAATAATTTAAATCAGCAGTTTTAAAACTTTTTTGGCTCACAGTCCACTGTAAAACATTTAAAAAATTTATGGTGCACTTTGTGTACAAAATATACAATATATTAATATATATTAAATTATACTTAGCTGTACTATAATAACTGATAACCTGTAGGCCTAACCTAGTTATTTATTTATCATGAATGTAATAAATCTTTGTACAAATTTTTCTTCCCATTTTTAAAACATACTTTCATAACATTTGCAGCACATTTAGCCCTCTCTTGGGATGCATTGGCACACTGCAAATCAATGATTTAAATCATAATGAAATATAACAAGAGTAAAGAATTCTTATCAATTTTGTTTTTAGGTATTAAATTATTTGGAAAAGGATACAGCGGCCTGGAATATGACTACCGGGGACTCCTCCGAGTCTACACGACTTTAGACGACTACGAAAAGACCGCGTATTATACGAGAATCCTCCATCATTGGAAACAGCTCCGCGACCAGACCACAAAAGTAGAAAACGAAATGTCTCCTCTCAATCTGCAAATTTTACCATTGAGTGTAGAAGAGATTTTTCCTATTTTTGAAAAACTGTAATAAATGTTAAATAATGTACTATAAGATTTGGATATGACTGCAGTTATCTAATGAAAAGTAATTATTAACGTTTGTGTAAATGTATAAATTTTTCAATTGTATATATTGACTTCCATACTTAATTTTTTTCTGGATCTTGTTATCGGTGTCATGTGCAAACTTTTTCAAAACAGCTCTCGTTTTCAGAGACACATTTTATGCAAACTCAATCTTTCCACATGTATTAAAATAAATGTTTATACTTAACATACATATTTGTACAAAACATTTTCTTAATCTAAATTTAAGATTAAGCAAATGTTTTGAAGAGTGAGTCTGCTTATTGGTTCTTTACCACTCTTCAGTGTAATTTTTGAAATTACTGATCTGGATTATGACAGTTTGCCAACAACTTTGAGGAATCATTTTCACATAATACACAGAAGAAAAGGCGGAGAATGTAACATTTGTTGCAATGGAAGCCAAAAGTTTCTGCAGAGATGACAAGTATGTAATACTAGGCGAGATGCTACCTTCCTTACATTACATTAAAAATTGAAAGAAACAATTTTACAAATCCATTCTAACCTAATTTCTGGGGGGAAATCTTCAACAAATTCTGATAATTTTTACTTCCAGTTTAAGTTTCATGATACAAAATACTTAATAAATTTTGGCGCTCAAAGTTTGCACATCACTGATCTACACTGTGAAAAATTTAGTGATACAACAATTAATGATAATCAAAAACAATAATATGTATTTTATTTTGGTCTGTTTGATGAAATATCCATAAAAATCCAATTTTAAGAGATAAAATAATGAATTAAATTTAAATCTTCCAGATGATAATTTAATATTGTCTCTGACTTAGAAGAATTATCTCATCATTCTTGAGTGTTACACTTAATTTTATTGTAAATAGAATTGGATTAGTTTAAACAAACAAACAAAAAAAAAAAAGAATGTATCCTGTGATAGATTTGTGTTGTTTAGATATAGGTGATAACATGTTAAGTGACTTGTACAGAATAAATTTATATATTATCTATTGACAGATATTGTTATTTTGTTCCTAAATTATTTCATTATACAACAGTGGATACCTTTAAAAATGTTCTCAACAGCTTTAATTAGCTGGAATTTAAGCGAAATACGTGTAACGATGCTTCGCAAATGATAACCTTCCCTCATATAGCGTCACAGGATTATAACTCTAACCTTTCATTAATAAATCGCGGTTGAAAATCCGTATCCCCGTTATACCGTCCGAGATTAGAACGTTAAGAAAAATTGCGGATATTACATAGTTCGTTGCAAGACAGTTACTCAAGAAGGTCAACTACGTCACGAGGTAAAACGAGTCCTCTCCCCTCGAGAAACCCGGAAATCGTTTTGCGCCAGTCACGTGATTCCGAGATGCGAAGCGTAGAGCCAAGGTCCTGGAAGGTGCAGCTAGTTGAATGACCCGTAGCACGTTGACAATTTACGAAAACTCGCGACTAGTTTCTAAAGGTAAGGATAACAAATGATCTTCGCATGCGAGTTTTTACCCAATTAACTTTAAATTAATCACAAAATTTTAATTATAATAAAAGGGCCTTTATATCTGACGTCACAAGAGTGGCGATTTCTCCATCCTTCAAAGTTCGAGATGGCTTTACTACCAGGCAAAAGTAGATTTTTATCCCGACTTTTAGGGCCGAAATTATTTTAATAAGGACTTAAATGTATTTAACTCTCGTTTATTTTTTAATTTTAAATAGGTTAATCTTTAATTTTCAGCTCTAAACTAAAAACTTCCTACTAGTTTAGGGCTGAGAAATGTAAGATAAAACTTTGTTTTCGTGTATTTAAACTGTCACAGACCACTTTTTACTACGTTTAATGTATTTATAAGGCTTGTATTTTTTTAATATTTTCTATGGCGTCAGTCTATTAAAATTTCCTCCGGCGAAGTTTAGTAAGGATTTAAAATTAACCCCTTGTTAATTTGCTTTATTGTAACTTCAGCACAATTGTAATTTATAAATTATTTTGGCTTTAAAATAATAAACTTTGCTTGTGTTAAGACTTTAAAAATGCGTTATTTTTGTTGATTATTTGGGGTTTAAAACCTTTAAATATTTTTTATCTTTAGGCCTGTTTTCAATTTTAAAATAAATGTATTTTATTGCTTAATAGGATTGTAAATAAACGGATTTTCTTCGGTTTTACTCGTTAAATTTACCAACTTAATTTGAATTTAAGCAAATTTTAATTAAAGTTTATAATAAATTATCGTAATTTTAATTGATAAAACAATTTTTTTTTTAAAGAAGTTTCATTAAATTACACTTTTTATAAGTTTATGTATGGTGAGATTTTCGTGGAAATTAATTAATCTGCGTTATTTGCACGTTTTGCTTAATTTTAATTAGTTACAGAATTTGATTAATAGTTTTGACTAAATTTGGATAGTTTTAACCGATAAAACTTTCTTTTTTAAAGGGAATTTTCGTTAAAAAGTTCGGAACAAGGAAACTTTTCAAAGTTCATTAAATGTTCCACTAAAAAATGTAAGTAGATGATATGATTCTTAATGTAATTAAAATGAAATGATGATAAATATAATTAAAATTAAAGATGATGATGATGACAAAATCAATTGAAATGATGATGATAAATACAATTAAAATTGAATGATGATGATAAATACAATTAAAATGGAATGATGATGTTAAATACAATTAAAATGGAATGATGATGTTAAATACAATTAAAATGGAATGATGATGTTAAATACAATTAAAATGGAATGATGATGATGATTTTCCGATCAAGAAAATTTTAATTTCGATACGATTTGATAACAAATCATCAACCCGAAACTTAACCTAAGTTACGGCCTAGTTCTCGTGACCCGGCTTTTAATAAACAAACAACGCAACTACACGCCGATGAACAAATTTTAATTTTAAGTTGGCAATCAATTTTTGCGCAACTAACCCCCATTTTTCCCCCTACACTTTTATATAATTGCGGACGTAACCCCGGTTTTTCTTTTCAGTATCAAAAATGAAACCGGCCTACTGGTGCGTGTCTGGTTTCCTCATAATCCTCTTCTACATTTATCTGACGGCGGTGCAGTATGTCCGCGGTATGCAGGTTAATTTTAATTACCACAATTACGATCAGATCACCACGCTTCTGCATCAGATAAGTCGGAAGTATAGGGATTTTACTTTGCTCTACTCGGTTGGGAAGTCCGTTCAAGGTGAGTTTGGAGTGTTTTAAAGGTTAAAGGGAGTGGACCATTCGAAATTAAAGTGCGCTTAATATTTACAGGTCGAGATTTGTGGGTGATCGTGCTTTCCAGATATCCTCAAGAGGAACCGCTTCTGAAACCCAATGTCAAATACATAGCCAATATGCACGGTAATGAGGTAAGTAATCTGTTTAATTGTCATTAAAATTTCCTTATGTAATTGTTATCGCGTGTAATTAATTATCTGATTACGTTAGTCGCGTGTTTGCGTCTGATTAATGACTAATGGGCCGGGCACGTGAAATTTTCGGGGTTTCTTCACGTGTCTAACACCTAAATAGGAATTCTCATAGGAATTCCTATTTAGAATTCCTATATAGGAATTCATATTCTCATAGGAATTCCTCCCTGAAGGCAACCATTTTTGGCAGATCGATTGCCTTATTCCATTAATCTGATCTTTAAATACAGGGTGGTCCAAAAGTCAGTTAACAGTTAAATTGTCGACTTAATTTTTAAAACAATTGTATAAAATAATACATTATTATAAAGTCCATTTGATATTTACACTCACATTGGCAAGCGTATCTAGAACTTGGGCCTCTTGTGTGGGATGGAGTGGGCCCCTTTTGTCTTTTGTTTTGAACAAATGAAATGTGAAGAACCTTTGATTAAAATAAAAACAAAAACCAATCTTATGATTAATTTATAGAAGTAGGAACCACTAAAGACACTTAAGTTTTCTCCGGATCAGAGTAAAAATCCTCAGTTCCCCTCCCGTTAACTGACTTTTGGGCCACCCTGTATACGTTATTGTTGAGCATAGCGTTAGATCGAATATCAGCAAAATATCGAATAAATGCAAATATAGCACACAGATTTAAATCAACTATATTCAGAATAGAGCGCTGAACTTGATTTAATGCCCTATTACTTTCTCTTCTGTTCGTTTTTCGACCGATCGTCATACTTTCCCTCTGTTATAACAGAGGGAAAGTATGACGATCGGTTGAAGGAAAAACGACCCCCTCCAAGATTTTTACATTTTTGGACTAGGAGGAACTTCAACAGTAAGAAATTTGGAGGATTTTTCTGTATGTATGGATGTTTGTGTGTAGAGGCAAGATCTCGTTCATTCACTTTGAAGCTTAATAACTCCTGTGTCTTCTGTCAAAATTTTCTGAAATTTTGCAGAGAGGTTCGTATATTAGGAGGATCGAGGATATTAAATTTTGACGATTAAAGGTCGAGGGGGTTGGGAGATTTTACACGTTATTAGAATTTACAATTTTGTATATAGCCGATTACAGGAGACAAATTAATCGATTATTGACATCGATTCGTGATTATTGCAGGCTGTAGGAAGGGAACTGATGCTACACTTAATTATGTACCTGATAAATAATTATCCTACGGATTATTACGTTCGCTGGTTGTTAGATAACACGCGGATACACATCATGCCTTCCATGAATCCGGATGGTTTCGAAGTAGCGGTTGAAGGACAATGCTCCGGGAATCAAGGAAGGTAAGAGAAAACTTTTAGCGCTTCGTTGCTCTCACGATACTTCTATAAAACGTTTTTCTTTTCTCTCATTTAGGTATAACGCTCGCGGGTTCGACTTGAATCGCAACTTTCCCGACTATTTTAAAACCAACAACAAACAACAACAACCGGAAACAAAAGCCGTTCGCGATTGGTTGCATCAGATTCAATTTGTCCTATCGGGAAGTTTACACGGAGGAGCTTTAGTCGCTAGTTACCCCTTCGATAATTCCGCCAATTCGAGTAAGTTCACTTTGTACGGTAGAACCTGTCTAAGCCGGAATTGCAAGCTTCTCGGTTTGGCATCTTTCCAAAGAAAAATCGCCCCGTTCCGAAGATGTTTCCATTTTATACGGGTTCCGTTTTAGACAGGTTTTATTCTATAAAAATGCGTTACTCTTTATAGTTTTTCAGACGTACGGAACACCTTCTCTAACTCCTGATGATGATGTGTTCAGACTTTTGGCTTCCACTTATTCCTTCAATCACGAGAATATGCATCTTGGTATCCCCTGTTGGCAGGATACTTCGGGATTTCCTAATGGAACAACTAATGGTGCAGCCTGGTATCCTTTAACAGGTAGAATCTCTATGTTTATGGTCTCATCCTCGGGTCTAACGGGAGTAATTAATTAGAACTGTGTTTAGAACTTAGTTTTTGTACATAGGTGGGATGCAAGATTATAGTTACGTATGGGGAGGTTGCATGGAGTTAGTTTTCGAAGTGTCTTGCTGTAAATATCCGTACAGACAAGAGCTACCTAGGTACTGGACGGACAACAGGAAGGCTCTATTGAGGCTTCTCGGTGAAGTCCATCGAGGTGAGTGCCCGTACACACGCAATTCTCGTGTAATTTCTTACAAACTAAACGTATCTTGATGCTTTAAGGAGTGAAAGGCATCGTGAAAGACCCGAAAAATCGGCCCATATCTAGAGCTAGCCTGAAGGTTAAGGGTCGAGATGTGGGTTTCCACACCACCAACAGAGGCGAATATTGGAGGATACTACTACCCGGAACTTACGTTATTGAAGTAAGGAGAATTTATCTAGAAATTCACTTATCCGTGAATGAAATTGTAAATATAAACAGGTACTCTAAATGATACAGGCTTATGCGGAAGGATACCAACCCATCGAAGTGAAAGTTGTAGTAAACGAGAAAGAAGTGACGGTCAGGAATATCACAATGTATCCATTCAGGAGAGTAAGTATAGAAAGTTTTATGACATTATTTTATTAAAGGCAAGTATTGTTAAATTTATTTACCTGTCAGAGTGAAAATTCCCAAAATTAATGGCCCAATCATTCGATTTTCCAAGTTCCTGGTGTGCTTGGATTTATTAAATTCCAAACCATTTGTCTCGGATAAACAGGAACTTTATTATAGAATAACAGCTTATAAATTTAGCAAAGATGTAGTTTCCTATGTTTAAAATTTGAGTCAAGTTTTGTCATTTGAGTCAAGTTCAACTTACGCCAGATGAACTTGACTCAAATGACGTAAAGTTATTTTAATTCGTACACGCCCTTCCTTTCGAAACAAAAAACATTTAGTTCAAAGACAGGTTGATTCGTTTATAATTTACTAAAGTAGCCCCTCGTTATATTGCTCATGTAGGATGACAAATCGGTTATAACGCACCTTATGGTGCGTTTTAACCGATGTATTTATCATTATTGGATAAAGCTCATTTGTATTTGGAAGACAAACGGAATATCCGAGTTTAGGATATAACGAGGGGCTACTGTACTAAAAATAATTAATTTGAAACATCAATTACAGTTAAGTCTAAAAGACTGACTCATACTACTTGCATTTATCTATGATTTTTAATATAAAACTTGATGTCTAAACTGGGTTTATAATGCTCTAGATGAATTCTATTAACCTTCGTCTTCTAATGGCTAAATAACAAAAGTGATTAATTATCAAGATAATAAATGTATGGCCTAATTTCAGGAACAAATAAGAAGGAACGAGTCCCACTTTAACACTGTAGTTAGACCACCTCATCCCATTCGACGCCAAGGGCCACTGTCTTCCATTTTTAGTACCATCACCAATAGGCTCAACACTTGGATCAGCATCTTAGGATAGAATTTCTATCGTCTTTTGCCTTAAAAGATCCTGTTGATTCTTAGAATATGGATCGTTTCCTTAGACAATGGAGGAAATTGATCCCGGACACAGAATAGAAAGAACTAGCAGACGCTGCTTTAATTAATGGCACATACCAGCAGCGGATTCTCATCATCATCTATGGCAAAATGTATAGATTATCAGAAAAACCGAATATAATTTATTTAAATATGTTTACATAGAAAAATAATAATAAACATTAAGTTTTTTAAAAACATTTTCCGTGTCTTGTGGTAAGAAGAAATAAAACAACGCCATTAATTTAGTATTGATCGACTCTCTTCCCTGTGGGCACTAAGAGGGCCTTTTTTGGCAAGCCCATTGTGGGCCGGACGATGAGGGACTGGTCCCGACATATCCGGATCCCCAAAAAATTTTTGGGTTTTTCGATCCGAGCCCCCAAAGAGGTACTCTGCCTCGTTAACCACTCGGGAATTCGTCAGAATGATTTATCAATTAAAATAACAGTAGCGTGTAACAGTGGTTCTCGGGGGATCGGAGAATAATTCTAGGGGGGAGAACAAACAAAGTTCGTCCTTTTCATCAGGTAAAAAGAAATATTGAGTTTAATGGTTTCCAGATATGGAGAACAATGCAAGGTAAGGACACAAAGTATGAGGCTCATGGAAAAATTTTTCTAAGAATATTTCCAAGATTTCCCCATCCATGGAAAAATGGATTAGGGGGCGTTGGGTATAAGTTTATGGAACCAAGGGGATGGTGGCTCACAAAGGTTTGGGAATCACTGGTGTAATACAATAATAGAGCCCAATAGTGGCCGACTGGATAAAACCACTGAACACTGGTCTTGGGTTCGCGTCCGGCCAACGGGCTGGTCACGTGGAGTTTTCCGGGATTTCTTCAAGTTTATAACACTTAAATAGTGACCAGTTTCTCACCTTCCGGCAGGCATCCATCCCCTCGGCAGATCACTCGCGTGTCGCGTTATCGTAATCAAATAGCAAAATAATGGATTAATTCCTCTCGAAAAAGTTTCTTAATCGCGTATTGACACAAATTTAATCTATGTCGTTCTCATTGTCCACTACGAAACTCTTCTATCTCAAAAAAAGGTGGGAAATAACCGATTTTGTAATTGGAATATTACGTTATTGCATTGATTTTTACGTAAATTAATCGGTTTATAGACCTAAATTTGTATGTGTGTACTAAAATTTGACCCTGAAAATTTCATAATTAAACCCTCCTACAGAACTTAAACAAATTTATATGATTAATGGCTTCGATACAGTTATTAAATATAATAATTTTCGTTATTTTATACATTGGCCAACTAGTGGCCAGTGAATAAAACCACAGAAAACCGATTGCGGGTTGGCGCCTGTCAACAAGATGGCAGCATGGATTTTTACGGATTTTCTTCATGCCAATGGGCTAGGCACGTGGAGTTTTCCGAGTTGTCTTCATATTTTAACACCTAAATAGGTGCCACTTTACCATAGAAAGTCTTCCCGGGAGACATCTTCCTCGTTAGATCGCCCACGTGCACGTTGATTAATTTCACAAATCCAATCCAATCCTACAATCCCATGAATAATTTCTGGCATTGCTCGCCCAGATTCGAACTTTTTAAGGAAAAAGAAATATATATATAGACTATATACATAAATTCTGAAAAATTTCCTCAATTTTAACAATTACATATTCATTGTTAAAGTTGAAATCATTTATCCGTTGTTGGAAGTTCAAACAATGGCGATGGACAAGAAAATTGTTGATAGAAAACTCGTAATGAAATTGGAAGAAATGCGCGAAATCCTATGAAGAAATTGATCCGAAATTAAGATAAGCTAGAACTTGTTTAGCCAATAATTAAATGCCATATTGTAAACAAAAGATACTTTGGACTAATTACAATTTAAATGTAACGACTTAAACAGAATCCATCAGTAATCGAGTAGATGAAACCACTAAACACTTATAGGGTCGTGGGTTCTCACCTTGTTAATGGGCTTGGTTACGTGCAGTGTTTTCTTTACGTTTGTAACATCTAAATAGGATCAGTTTTCTAAACTTTCTCAATAGAAAGTCCACCCAGGAAGCATCCTTCCTCGGTAGTTCGCCCACGCTTTCTGTAACCAAACAAAACCAAACTGCAAATATTTCATGCCTCAAGCAATTCTTAATAAGTGTGGAGTGGAATGATGCAGATAATCAAATAAGGCAGCGTAACACAGGCCAGAGTCTCTCCAGACGTCTCAACGGAAACTGACCATTATTTAGGTGTTATAGAAGTAAAGAAAACCCGGAAAAGTCATGGAATATCTTAGTGTAATTCAAAATATACTTCCACGTCTAACAAAATGTCGCCGTGACAAATGAATGTAGAACTGAGATTACCTGAACCGTATGGCTATGATTCTAGTTCTTAAATGATACTTTCTTTCTTTCCTCACTTTTTTTAAAATATTGAAGGGTTTAACTACATTTCGATATGACAAAGTGCACGTTGGAAGATCGAAGGTGATCTCAAAAGTTAAAAATGTATTTAATGAAAACATAGAAGCATGAAAAGTAATCATGTTTATTACGATACCATTATGAAATTAAATAAACGAAGAAACAATATAATATTGTCGAATAAGAAACAGATTTATAACTTGATTTTATGGACAGTTCTGGCGTAGAATAAAAGGTATTCGTGTAAAAGTTCAGTGACGAATCCAAAATTCTAAAAATATAGCTGCTGCTTAAGGGTAATTCGGGAAGACAAAATCACGGCCACAGTCGTTTTTCGAAGAATATTACTCGGTTACTTTAGAATTACTTTAGTTACACTATATCTGACAGAATTTAAAACACAGATATACGTTATTATGTTTACTTTTACTAAAAAAACATAATGTGCGGTCGTTCGCGTCTTTTGGAGTTTATGTGTTTATGTTTTAGAAAATACAAGGGAAGCGGTGCTTCCACAGCTTTCCTGGACGGCATGCTACTGTTAATATATAAATTATATTTCCGCGGGGATCACAATCTCAAAAACGGGTGACCTCTTTTCAAGTTTTTGACCTATGATTGGATATATCTTGAAAAATTTTAAGTACGGTTAAACGGGAGTCACGTCGACCGCTTTTTACCGGGTTTTTAATTTGTACTGTCATTGGAAGCGGTGCCGCTTCCTTTGTATTTTCTAAAAAAATAAATACATATTAATTTTAATTATATGAAAATAATCGAATTAGTTAGAAAACAAATGACTATTAAGTTTAACATACTGTATTTAGATTTTTACAGCTATGGTGAGAAACGTTTAAAATCTACGACAGCCCTGTCGCGTCCTTTTGAGATATACTAATGATGCGACAAAAGAGGTATTTGACATTGACCGGTATCGGCACCCTGGGGATTTGGCAGTCCGCGTGTATGCACGTCTTCGATTCCATTAGCCACTCGTAGGGAGCTATTTGACTAAGTGCGTTGTTTTAAGATTTAAAAGTAAAGAATATTTTATATTTTTATGTACGTTTCTTTACAAAGCTATATTTAATTATAATTTTCTTTAAAAGTATATTCGTAAAATTGAAGAATATTATATACCAGGTTTGTAAATCCACCACACATTTTATTTCACCGAGTAAGTTTTTATCATTTTATTTTAATTGTAGCCCTTATATCGTGGCTAGCGAATCGGAATGTAATTGCGATATTAAAAATGCATTTAGAGTACGATTTTTACTGGCTTATCGAATAAACGATACGAATGGGCCCTAGACCATCACTGACGCGCGATTGACTGATTGCCCCTGGATGTTGGCTTCTTACAGAAACACAGCTTCCCTATCATCAAATGTCATGCCGCTGATTTATAGAGATATTTCAAGACATTTTTATGCAATCCGATGAAGTCCTTCAAAGACCATGGACGTAAAATCACGCTCATCCAACATTAGCCTAAGAAAATAAAATGCCGAGTAGTTCACCGCCAGATCCTAAAATGAATATTTATGTTTCTCTGGATTGTCAAAGACTAATATACATATTTTTATATGCATTGCATGAGCAAATTTATTTAGGGAATATTTCAGTTGTGTTTAGGGAGTTTTCACGACGGAAGGCTGGCAACACTGTACGAATGTGGCGCCATTTTCGTTGATGTTAGTTTTGAATTGAAGTCTTGTGGATTGCGAGATTTTTTTTTTTCCATTTATAAATTATGGCTTTAACAAGTATACCGAATCCAACAACTTTATTACCTTTAGGTAAGTTTACTGTCGTCACACAATAAATATAATTTCAATAAAATGTAATTGAATTAAGTAATATAATGGATAGCTGTCGAGACCGGCATGCAGCTAGTTGGTCGGTGCGCCACTCGACGGTAGAAGTGGAATTAATTAAAGCGCTATCCTCTTTCACATGCCGACATTGTGGTTGTCTGTTTCCAAGTAGAACTAGAATTCGTTGCTAAAGGTGATACAAGCTAATTCAGGGCAGTCCATAAGCTTGTATCACCTTTAGCAATGAATTCCACTTCTCTACTGCAAATGAAGTTAATGATGTTGGATGCTAATACAGTAGGGTCCCGAAAACTCAGCCTAATGTGGACCAAAGTGTGGCCGAGTTTGTGAAAATGCTGGGTTATCGGGATTGGGGTTAAAAAAGAATAAGTACGAGTGTTTCCTCAGAAAATACTGTACTGTACTTGTATTTATTGTTTGCTTGAAAATACAACAGAGAATAAACTGCCAAAATAACCTTAAACAAAGGAAAAGTACGTACTTTATGAAGGCATAGAGCCTTTACTACATGAAAATGAAAATTAATGAATACACAATGTATAGTAATTTACCTGATAAGACAGACTTCAGAAAAATACTTTGAGGCATAAAGCTGTCTATAATGAAAATTAATTAACTAAGGATTTTTTTGCCCTGCCAGGTGTGACTGAGTTATCCGGACTGCCGGGTTATTGAGTGCAGAGTTTTCGAGACTCTACTGTAGTAGAATGTGTAATGATCATTGTGTGACAATCCAAATTTGTCTCTGCTAGTCACTCGATGGTATGGGAAGAGATGGGGTTCTGTAGTGAGACTCTTGCACCTATCTGAATGGTGGACAAAGATGATGTTACAGCCATTCGTACTTCTATTGCAATCGGATAATTATCTCTTCTGATCTTTCTGTCTGGAACGTCTATGTATGTGTGCCCTGACAAATTGTTTCCAACACCTTCTCACAGTCAGATCAGATGGCAGGCAGTTTGGCAAAATGGCAGTCTTGCTTTCCTTAGCCTGATGATGATGTGTTTCTCAAACTCATCACTTAATATCATTTATTGTATGGGCATAAGGTCTTGCAATATTGGGCGTGCCCAATGCTCTAAGACAGCCAAACGAACAGATATACTAAAAATTCTGAACACTAAATTACATCACGTCACGCCAGGATATATGTAATAACAAACACGGAACCAATTTCCGGTGCACGTAACCAAAAAAAAAAACAATCTGCAGAAACATTTTCTAACTCTTTCTGAGTTCTTTGGATGTGACTGTATGGTTACCCAATGGAACTTCCTTCAGAACAAACGTAAATTTATAAAAGTTTTTAAAATAATGTAATTCGAATGACCAATCAAACTCTAAATATAAACTTAAAGCTGTGCAGACGTCCTGCACATAACAATCAATCGATCAATGACTATGTCATGTCGAGCAAAGCCTGCCATCGGCAAAACTATTTCCTCCTTTAAAGTTATACATGATGCAAAGTTAGCTTTAAAAATTTCTATGTCCTCCAACTGTCAGATGTGTTTCGTGTGCGATGTGAGAAGTTTGGCCCATGAGAAGTCTGCCAGAATTTCTGAATTTGCTGTATAGGTAAAAGAGTTAATTCTGAACACAGTGAGCTCTGCGAGTCTTTTTATAGTATACTGGGATATCAGTTTTAAAGCTTCTGTCGGCATTACTGGTATACAATTGAACCACAATTCTAATGATTTATGTACCTGTCTGAGACATAACTAAAACAGTTTTGCAGTAATTGGACAATTCTATCTTTTTTTTTTATCAATGAATGTGTGTGTTGGTTTGAGAATGACATAATGTATGCCAAGAACATTTACAAATAAATATCTATGTAACTTTCAGACTTTGTGTAGTTGATTAAAATATTTTAAACTGTAATAATATGATGGCAAATATGTAATTAACTTTCAAATATGTATTTCGTGTGGGTGAAGTAATTGAATTGATCATTCCCAATCATATGCAGTAGTTCTTATTCAGTAAGGGTAAAAAATTAACTTAGAGCTTTTATAAGCCACTATTACATCTCTGATGGGCAGATTTACCTTGAACATGGTAATTTATATGAAATTAAGCATATATGAATATGAGGAGAAAAATATCAATCAGACTAACTGCATGTATGTCATTGTTATAGAAAAATCACTTGTTAATTCAGCATAAATGCATCTTAATGAACTAATATTCTTTGTTTTATCATAAACTATCTTTAGGTTATAATTATAGTGCTCAATATAATAATATATTATTGAATAAATTTCATTATGAATATTGTGTGATGTTCACTCAAGTTAGAATTTATGCATAATATNAAATAAATATATATATATATATATCTCCACTAACATTTTAATGCTTTACAGTAAATTTTAACGTATCACAAACATGCAAGGTCCACCATTTGTGATATGTTAAAATTTACTGCAACACATTAAACAGTTAGTGGATATATATATTTAAAAGACAAGAGTGTTTACTCAGAATGTAGCATAAAAAAGAAAGATTGTAATATTATTTTAATGTAAGGCCTAAAATGTTTGTGTGTGTGTAAGTGAATTCTCTATAACGTCTACTACTTTTGTCCACTCCAGGTGAAATTTTGTTTTGTTGCTCTTTATGTTGCAACAGATAATAATATTACAAATTAAATAGTTTATACTAACAACTCTTCTTGAATTTCTTGAAATCTCTACTATTCTCAAATCTTCAATCTCTACTTTCTCATAAAAAAGTATTACATCATGCTTGATGGGAATTTCTAGTATATACATAAAGAAATATACTTATCATCATGTTTTCTTTTTAGTTATTTAGCTTCTTAGCATTTTCAGTATTATTCCTTTGGGAGTGGAGCACTTAACAATATACAATACAATATGTAGTATCTCGTACACAATATATACAGTATATGAGATACTGCATTATTATAATGTTAGATATTACAACAGTCTTCGTTCAAATGAAGTTTTTTACATAAACATTGTTTTCTCCAGTTCCTTGGAATGGAAAAAATAAATGTCCTTTAATATGGATCTACTATATAAAACAAATAAAAATGCTTTGTTAAGTTAATCATTATTTATATAAAATTATTCATTATTCCCTGAGAATTCACTTTTTAAGAAGATTATTAAAAATTTTATATTCAGTAATAGCAGTCAGTCCTTTCAAACAAGTTTTTTTTATATGAATAGCTATTGTAATTGAATAATGTAAAGAATATTCAAGATGAAAGCATATTCTTTGATCTATACCAGTAAATTCATTTTAATATTAGTTCATTTTTCATTTAAATATAAAATAATATTGATAATGCTGCATTTAAAGAATTATATGACAGAAGTTAATAAATACATTTCATTATTTTTGTTATTGAATACCTTTTCATTTTCATACGTGATAAAATTTGGTTCTTTTTTGTTAATGGGATGCCAGTTGTATCTTTAATCTGATGTGTGGTACTGTCATCCTCTAAGACTATCGCATTTAACTATTTAGCCCATTCTGATTAAGATTAAGAGATTAAGCTGATTGATATGAACAGTCAAGTGGGCTTTGAGTGGCCCACTTGACTGTTCATGGGGTACTTGATGTTATATAGTTTTACGGGATGTGGGGACTTGGCTCCACCTGGGCACTGAGGTGCGAGTGATAGCGAGCAGCAAAGTGCACAACTATATATGAACCATGTAGAACAGGCAGTATACCAATACATGTTAAAAACTGATTTTTGGATGCAAATATCTCACAAAGGGTCAACAATTCTGGGATGGTGAGAGCTTGAATCTTACCTGTTGCTGTACATATCGGCTGGTGTTCCATTAACAAAAATGTTGCCATAAATTTTTATCTTTTCCCTTTTGTTTGTTGATCATTCCTATTATATTATTAATATAAAAGCTGTCGTGTGTGTGTGTGAATTTCTTACAACTCCTGCACCTTTTATCTGATCTAAATGGAATTTTGGTTATATTCGTTTTATGTTCTGATGGAAAGTTTAGGCTACTTATTTTTGCAGAAATATTAGCTATAAAATGGTGTTGCAGTGATGTCAGTGACCTCATTTAGTTTATATTTGACAACGAAATTTCCTTTAAGTTACATTTTTTAATATTTTGGCAAATGGCATGTTTTAAACATACTTCATTAAATTTAAAATTTAAACATTAAAAAAAGATAGCTTCATTGTGTCACTTCTATAACAAATTTTATAAAAATCTTTCCATAGTATCCTATTGAAAATAACAATCTAACAAGCTCATTATTTAGAAAGTGTTATCGCTCATCTAACTAACGTATGTACAATTTAGCTTTAGTTTTATGAATTTGGAATTAAGAAATGGCTTTGTCAATGGCTGCAGAAATAGCATCATGTCGTCAATCAGCAAAACAATATTAAGGTGTCTATTACTAAAAGAAGACACAAGGAAATCTTTTAAAAGACAATATAAAAGCCACTCAAGAAACAAAACGTTGATAAATAAATAAATATATATATATATATATATATCTCCACTAACATTTTAATGCTTTACAGTAAATTTTAACGTATCACAAACATGCAAGGTCCACCATTTGTGATATGTTAAAATTTACTGCAACACATTAAACAGTTAGTGGATATATATATTTAAAAGACAAGAGTGTTTACTCAGAATTTAGCATAAAAAAGAAAGATTGTAATATTATTTTAATGTAAGGCCTAAAATGTTTGTGTGTGTGTAAGTGAATTCTCTATAACGTCTACTACTTTTGTCCACTCCAGGTGAAATTTTGTTTTGTTGCTCTTTATGTTGCAACAGATAATAATATTACAAATTAAATAGTTTATACTAACAACTCTTCTTGAATTTCTTGAAATCTCTACTATTCTCAAATCTTCAATCTCTACTTTCTCATAAAAAAGTATTACATCATGCTTGATGGGAATTTCTAGTATATACATAAAGAAATATACTTATCATCATGTTTTCTTTTTAGTTATTTAGCTTCTTAGCATTTTCAGTATTATTCCTTTGGGAGTGGAGCACTTAACAATATACAATACAATATGTAGTATCTCGTACACAATATATACAGTATATGAGATACTGCATTATTATAATGTTAGATATTACAACAGTCTTCGTTCAAATGAAGTTTTTTACATAAACATTGTTTTCTCCAGTTCCTTGGAATGGAAAAAATAAATGTCCTTTAATATGGATCTACTATATAAAACAAATAAAAATGCTTTGTTAAGTTAATCATTATTTATATAAAATTATTCATTATTCTTTTATAAAAAGAAACTACTTCCAAACTTTGGCTCTAGTTTGTAAAATGAAGAAAACTTGAATACTTCTAAGTATTAATAAAGTTTAATAAAAATACAAAATTTCTTTAACACTGTCTTTAGATATGGTTTTAGAAGATGTGACTGAATAGTGAGTATTACAGAATACATTTATATTTACTTTTAATTATACAATGATTAATCTTTTATCTATAATTATTTAATTTATACATTATATAATTTAGCATGGCTAAATTCTGCCAAATTATATCTTATAATTGGATTAGGTCTAATTATAAAATATATAATATATTAATGGCAAAAGTAAGTGTAGGTTTCTTTTTGAAAATTTATTTATTTTTATTGCTTCATACTTTATCAGGATTGTTATAACAACCATCAATTTGTTTATTATCATTATGCAATACATACTTCAATATTAATTAATTTGTAGAATTTCGTTGGATGCTATAAGTTTAAAAAATTAAATTGAAGACACAGTCTGTTGAAAAAGGATTCTCCATTTATTCACTTTCAATGTTCCAGAATACAAACTTTTGATGACCAACCTTTCATTGTGAGCTACTTGGCCATCAAAATTAAAACTTCCCTTAAAAACAGAGAAAAAATATCCTATTAAAAATACAAGCGTAAAAAATCGGAACTGGTAATGGCACAGGTATCTTTTCTTCCATCCTTACCATTTGGGACTAGAAACAAACTACTGGAAAGATTTGTCACCAGGGGGCAGCTGAACATCTACATTTACCAGTACTTGTTTTTCTAGTATATAAATAGCTCTATCATCCCCAAGTGATAAGGATGGAAGAAAAGAAGACATCTGTGGCATTATCGGTTCTGATTTTTAAATTTGTGTTTTTAACAGGATATTTTTCCTTTCACATACACTGAACCAAATTTACGGTGTGGTACGATAAACGACGAAAAATAACGAAAAACAAACGTTTTCGAACCCCTTCTGGGCTCTTCATCAGGTTCCTACAGTTTTAACTCGTAAATTCAAATAACGAATCCTCGTGAAACTGTAGGAACTGTAGGAACGTAGAAACGTGAAACTGTAGGAACGAATCCTCGTTATACGAATTTATATGAAACGGATCCCTGTCACATATAACCCATATCTAAGATCTATATATGCTAAGATCGCCAGGAAGCGCCAAATAAGTATTGCGTACAGGAGGTGTCCCACCATTTTTAACATCTTAAGTAATGGGAAGGACCCTCCTAACCCCAGCAGAAGATCTGGAGTCTATAGGGTCCCTTTGAGAGACAACAGATTCAATAGGGATTTAGTATATATAGGCTCTACTAAAAGGTCCATAGGCATCAGAATGCAAGAACATCAGGCAGATATTCGTCACGGGAGAACCAACACGGCCCTCGCAACATACGTAACGGATCCAGAAATAGTTGCCGACTTTACTCGGGCCAATCTCCTCCTCGGTGCGCCTCCCAATGATCGTCTCAAATGGTTAGAGGCGATGCACATCTTTAAAGCCTCTATCGATACTACGTGCATAAATTTTAAAGAGGAGATGCTTTTGTCGATGGCCTGGCAAGAGTTGATTCACAACACGATTTAGCCGCCTGTTATATCCGAGTAGGCAGACTCGGCACGCATGCGCGTCGTATAATTTTGAAAGAATGATTCGAACTGAAGATCGTACTTATTTTAACGACATTCGTTATTCGAATTTACGAGCTAAAACTGTAGGAACCTGATGAAGAGCCCAGAAGGGGTTCGAAAACGTTTGTTTTTCGTTATTTTTTGTCGTTTATCGTACCACATCGTAAATTTGGTTCAGTGTATGTGATTATTATTGAGGTGTGGTGAGTAGTTTGTTTTTATATTTTTCCTTTCTTTTTAAGGGAAGTTTTAATTTTGATGGCCTAGTAGCTCATAATGAAAGGTCGGTATTCAAAAGTTTATATTCTAGGACATTGAAAGTGAATAAATAATGAATCCTTTTTAAACAGACTGTATCTTCAATTTAATTTTTAAAACTTCAATATTGTTTTTGTTTACATTCATATACAAGAATGGATAACCATCTGTCATCTGGAAAGGGTTTCACATTCCTTTATTTTGGTAGAAATTGCCCAAAATTGTAGCATCAAAAGTAACTCACTTCTAAGAATATGCCCTTAGGTTTATTTTTGGAAGTGATCTATTTATTGATAAGTGCCACAGATCTATCTCCCTGTATCTCATGGCTGACAGACTGAAACTTGAAAAGGTAATAATGCACAAGGTTTTGGTTGTGAGCAATATGAATAAGCCATGAGAAACTCCACTCAAACCGAAAAGTAATAAAATTTGTTCTTCTTTTGGGTGTTCTACAACAGTGTTCCGCAACTGGTGTGACGTGAACTTTTACGTATTTTGTTAATTTCAAATTTTATTTATATATTTTTATCACAGTTGTTGTGTTTCTTATGCTTGTATTTCATTTTCTGCTGCAGTACTCATGAAATAAGATGATGTTTGTTTATTCTTTATTACAAACCACGCATTTTTATGTATTCTAAGAAATTATATGTAAAAAAAATTTGCTCACAGGTATTGATGTCTGTTTAATAACAATAATAATAGGTTAGTGGCATTACGTAATTCTATTAATAGTATCATATCATACGTTTTNATTGAAGTAATTTAAACATAAGCATCCATAATTTGCAATTACACACACTACTCCATATTTTAGGTAATAGGGTACTTTGTTATAATTATTATTTTGAATGCATTTGATAGTATCATTTCTATATAATGATACTATCAAATGTATTCAGAATAATAATTATAACAAAGTACCCTATTACCTAAAATATGGAGTAATGTGTGTAATTGTAAACTATGGATGCTTTCATGTACAAATTTAAGCAATTTGCCTACAAAAGCAATAAAATGATATATTTTTGTACGAAACTAGCAGGTAAGCCTGGTGTTGTCTGGGCATAAAAAATAAGAACAAATGTTAAGATTATTTTGTACTTTTATTCACTATATTATATATAATAGTATTTGATTTATATAACTACAAAAGTTACCTTCATAAGGTTTATCACACCGAGTGACCAATCTAACACGTTTTAAAAATTCTTTAAATTGTGTACAGGTAAGAAATAAAGAATTTTTAATTTAAAATGTGTTTGTTTGGTCATTCAGTGTGATAGTCCCTTATGTAAGTTAACCTTTGTAGTTATATAAATCAATTACTATAAAAACAAATATTAAAACAAAAACCATATAAAAAGTTTGGTTATTTTAGCCTACCATTTTCATGTTTATTGCAATACTAGGATGGTATGAAATGGCTCAATTTCAACAATTGAAAATAGATATCTTAAATTTTTTATAGATTCATGTATATGTTTTTCTAATGTTAGCTCTAATAAACTGTTACATTCACAGCCAAATATTAAATGGTGATCTGCTAACAAATCAAATTTTGCAAAAAATGAACCAAATATTTAAACTCTGTACCCTCAAAAACAAGTTAAAACATATTTTGTGCTCACTGGTAACCTTGTATTATGTAATTTTTCTAATTCGAATGCCACCATACTGCTGGATCTGATAGGAAGAAGTGACGGTTGCAGAAGGAGATTGAAGTTAATTCAACAAAAGTAGTAGTTGACATCATCCTGGAAGATAGGATGTCAATGATTACTACTAATTAATACTGGTCTACTATTAATATTTGAAAAGTGATCTGTGTTGGATAGGTTGTGATGATCCCATACGTGATCGAAGTTGCTAACCTTAACATGCAAAATACTTCATATAAGACTTGTTTAATTAAAAAAAATATTGTAAAAATGCAGAATAATTGATTTTGTAGAAAGACTTATGTAAAGCTGGCCCCAATTTAAGTGTTACTAATGCTAAGAAAACCCAGGAAACTTCACACTGCCAGTTTGAAACCAAGACTGACTACCGATGTTCAGTGGTTTTATCAACTCGGTTACTGGAGGGTACTCATTGGGCTGCAATTGAAAAAATTGTAGATCTGTAAATTCCCACTGTTGTCCGTCTGTCTCTGTCCTTCCATATTCTTGAGAACGGAGTTAGGTAGATGAAAGTCGAGACCAGACATGGAAATTGTAAGAGAAAAAGAACTAGATTAACTATTTATGAACTTCCGATTTGTACCGCGAGTCACGCTATTTTAATTCAAAAATTCCCCTGAATGGGGTTAGATACATAACCGGCATGACTATTGCTAATAGGAAAAGTATGATGTACAGGAGCAAAACTACTACACAACGCAGGCAAGTGGTGTGTGCCCTGTCGCAGTAATGATATAATCGTGCATTTATTTCACGCTATATCATTGTCGCAGTAATTCAATGAATAAATATATTTATATATATATAAATGAGGATGTTTGTTTGCTATACACTCCTGGACCGTNATTATATGTAAAAAAAATTTGCTCACAGGTATTGATGTCTGTTTAATAACAATAATAATAGGTTAGTGGCATTACGTAATTCTATTAATAGTATCATATCATACGTTTTTGAGGGGAATAACATTTTGGTGTGCCGTGTTGAAGTCATGGGTGTGCCGCAAGTAGAAAAAGGTTGTGGAACACTGTTCTACAAGGACCAGTAATAAAATTAGTTTGCATAGATTTCCCATTAATCAAAAATTGTGTTTGGAATGGAAGACAAATCTGAAGATTGGAAAGAAAATCACAAGCAACTTTTATGCATGTAGCAAGCACTTTTTAAAAGATTCTTTTTTCATTCTAGGTTAGTATTTAAAAGAACTTTTTTGTTTTAATCTATGATACATAAATTGTTTTCAAGGTGTACAACATCTAATTCACATGTATGAAATTCTATTTAGCAAATCCTCATGTTCCATGCACAGCTGAGTTAAGACTAAGACCTGGTGCCATTTCTTCTCAGAATTTTCATGCAAGTTTCCACAAACATGTTCTTACTCTGAGAAAAAAAGCTCAACTGACAACAAGGAAGGAGTGAGCACAAAGGAGGAATGGTGTCCAAGCTTTGCAGAATTTGAATGAAGAGCCTGAGCCTCACTATTCAACTACTACTGTTTTTTCAGTTGTAAATACTGTGGTTCAAGAAACAGAATTATCTGAGACTGAAGAAGATAATATTTGCAGGTGCTAAAATTTAAATTTGCCATACAAAAGATTAAGCTTATTACATAAGCTTAAACTTAAACTGGTCAGGCTTAACTTTTTACTGGAATTATAAACTAATTTTTATCATAAAGCAACATTCTTGATGATAAATCTTATATACTTTTTCATAATTACAGGAACAATTGTATCTATGGAAGATAGATGTCAATGCTGCATTCACATTATTTAACATGAAGAGTGAAAGGCATGTTGTTGACATGGGAGTTCAGGTGTCAATATCTGATTTGACTCCTCATTTTCATCTTGCATCTATGCTACATACAGATGCTAAGCATAAACTTTTCACTGGAATTCCAAAGAAATGTACAGAAGTTTATAAAAAAACAGGGGCATTTTAACAACTGAAGATATTGTTATGATTTTTACCAAACTTGCATTAAACCTTAAAGTTTTGTGACACTTGTAGTGTTATTTTCAATTTCATCATCATCATCTTGCCAAAGGTATTTCAAGAAAATTTTATCTCTGTTGAGACTTTAAAGTGTGCAATTATATGACCATCTAAAAGTGAAATTTTACAGAATATACCAGAATGTTTTTGCCATTACAGGAATGTTCATGTAATATTAGATTGCACTGAATTAAAAATAGAGAAGCCTACCTGTTTACACTGAAGAATTCTAACATATAAAGTATTCCCATTATTATAATGGATACAATAAAACTTATGGTAAGAATTTCTCTAGCTGGACTAATCACATTTATCAGCAAAGCGTGCTGTGATCTTGCATCTGACAGTTATATCACATTAGAAAGTGGCATCTTAAAGAAACTAAAAAAACATGATGCTATTATGGCTGATAAAAGATTTCTAATTGAAAAAGAGTACTTCCAAGAAGGACTCAAATTAATAAGACCTTCATTTCTTTGAAGTAAAAGCCAATTTTTAAGTGAAGAATCCAATGAAAATTTTGCAATTGCTTAGACATGGGTTCACGTTGAATGTGCCATTCAAAGAATTAAAAGACTTTAAAATATTTTCAGGAACATTTGAGTGGTGCTTAATGCCATACATTGATTGCATGATAGTTGCTCTTGCAAGCATTGTAAACTTATCTCCTATTTTGAGTGGTGAAAAAATATTAAGTAATTAAAATTAGTTCAATCATTATTCTAATATTTTTATATAAGTTTGTGTTGATTGTGTGAATTTTTTTTATATAAAATAAACATAATTAATTACAAATACTTATAAATAGATGAATATACTTAGATACAAACATAAACATTATTATTAAAAATCTTCATTTTTTAATACATTAAAGTATTTATAGCTAATATACTGTGAAATTAACATACTGTGAAGTATATATAAGAACAAGTGTTCTCTTCTTAATGTTACTTACAATTGATCTCCTCTTAATGTTTTTTTATGGGATTAACAAATTTGCTATTACAGTCAGGATTGAAGTTGTTACATTATGTAAACAGGTTTACAGGTAGATTCTTAGGTTTTGAGTCATGCAATTCAATCGTGTTTTATTAAATCTGATGATAATGGGTGCATTTCTTTTTAATAAAGTTTGATGTCTGCCATTGTTGTGTTTTGAAAGTGCTTCACAGTTTTTGTACCAGAATTTTCTGAAATTTTTATTGCATTTCACTGCTTAATTAAAGCAGGACTATCTACTTTGGATATGCAAAGCTGGGATATGGTGTGGCTTCATAAGTACAAATCAAGGATTTCACCCTACCCCATTGCTTTTTCATGTCAGTGAAACTAAGTTCCAACTGTTCCAAAGGATACCCAAAAAATAAACAATTAATGTTCACCTAAGGCATGTAAAAGAATATTGTGCATTTTTGTTCTTCTCTTCACAGTTTTTTTGTAAATATTACGAGCTATCTGTGGACTTGGTTTATTTTTGTATAAGAACATTAGGGTTAGTTATGTTGTTGATAGATACTGCAAGATTTGGTGTAGAGGAATAGGTTTGCAGTAAAAATTGGTTTTCAAAATGTAATTTATAGTAGTAGCTGCCTATTTAAATCATTAAAAGTAATTGTCTGGGATTATTGTTAATAATGTCTCCAGATAGCTCTTCTTAATATTTACTCTTAAGTTTTATGAAGAACGAAACTTATCTGTTAAGAAATAGGAGTGCAGCAACAATATGCTTGCAGTTAACTGAACTGTATTTGCTGGAGCACTGGGCTTCTATCATAGCTTTTATTAAAATCTCAATTTCATGGGGTGTAGATTGTGGTGCTGTGATCTGTCTGTCATCACAAAACAAGCATGTGCCAATTGCCATTAATGTTTTTTTTTTTTTTACTCCACAAGAAATATGGTGACTTGCTTTTAAATCCTCTTCACCTTTAATCAAGCAGCATTTCCTCTTGAGTTTTTCTAATTTCAGATACTCTAATACATCATTTAATGACGATGCTATAACTATATACAAGATATCGAATTCTAATACAGTTTACACCTGGATAAAAGAAAGTGCATGTACCCAACACACACATAAACAAACAGCTATAATCTTTTCACTGAAACTCTGAGTAACCTCTATATGAAGTGGCACTTCCCAATAGAAATAGCCTGTTAGCATAGAAAGTGATTCAAGAATTTAAAAAAAATCTAAAATCTTAAATATATTTGTTGTCAATAATTCCTCATTTAGGACAAATTATATTACAATACACCAAATAACTTGATTTATGTTTAATGAATTAAGCAATTTGGTGAATTACTTCATGTTTATCAAATTTTAATATCACATAATTTTAAAAATAAATTATTATTACTTTTTAAAATTAAAATTTTTAAAAGTTGCTACACATGTTTTTTTATAATTTAATTTATAAACAATAAATTTTTAGTGTAATAAAATATGATGAAATGTTTTTTTATTTAAAATAAATCCATTTTCAGTGAAAGCACTCCAGAAGGTCGAAGAGTCACAAAATTAGATGAAATTTTGTTGAATGGCAATAACATAACAATGGTAAGTTTAATTCCTTAAAATCAAAGTAAAAATTTATTTAAATTTGAAATATAGAATTAGTAATGTAAGTTAAGTTTTATGTACAGTGTTTTAAGTGTAATCAAGAAACTTTAGTAATAAATAGAACAATAATTACAAAACAAAAAACTGTTACACATGCAAGTTCTTACTTTGTTTCTAAGTAAAATATAAACAGTTTTATAATGCTTTTAATGTTTATTTTGAAAACCAAATAATTGTTATATTTATTGGAAAATCAAAAATAACCTCACAAAATTATAAACCATTAAAAATTTCAAGGAGTCTTAATTATGTTTTTATTAATCATACAAGAGACATTAGAAATTTTTCTGTATTAAACCAAACGACAGCCTTAATTATTTGGGTCTTGGGATGTTTATATTACTGAATTTTTTTGATACAAACTGAAAAAACTCAGATACTGTTCAAAACTGTTTATATTTTTCTCTAATTGTCATGAAAACAATTTCAGTTTTCTCAATTTATCTGAAAACTGAAAAATTTCTGCAGCTAATACTAATCTACTATGAGAAAAAAATAAATAGCATATTTCCATATATAAACACATGATCTTTTCATTCCATTATTGTTATTCATACTGACCAAGTAAGATTGTGCAGTTAGATTAGATTGTTTCTCCAAAACAGAAGTTCCAGTTTTATAGATTTTAAATAAAATAGATCAATGGATATTTTATTATTTACATTTTACATTTCTGTCATATCAACATGCTATCAAAATTATGTAGACGATTTATTAAATGCAAATGAGTTTCTCATATAAAAAGGACATTTTAATGACTTGTGAGCACTAAGATTGGCCTTACTTTACCGCTAGACTTATTACACCAGCACAGGACATCAAATTAGACTTAGAAAAACACAATTTTATTTTCAGAATGCATTTTGGATGTGGAGTCCCTCATCAGCTTTTTTGCTACAAAATTAAAAGGATGAAAATAATTTTTTTTTTTTTTTGTTTGTTTTATGGCATTGTTTAATCTTTTAATGTTCTAAACATCGAATTGACATGTTAAATGTAAGTCTACAGCCTTTTTTCATTTGTGTCAATTATGGTACTTTAAAATTGTTAACTTCCTTTTAATTTTGTAGCAAAAAAGCTGATGAGGGACTCCACATCTGAAATGCATTCTGAAAATAAAATAGTGTTTTTCTAAGTCTAATTTGATGTCCTGTGGTGGTGTAATAAGTTTAGCGGTAAAGTAAGGCCAATCTTAGTGCTCACAAGTCATTAAGACTAGACAAGAAGCATATCATAGTATTCATAGGACATTTTAAGTAAATAGTATTTTTTCTTTAAGAAAAACAAAATGGTTATTTACACAACTAATTCTTTAATACTATTTACATAACATTAATATTAATAAATTTATGAATATGTTTAAGAGGAGTAATTACTTTTTAGGGTTAAATAGTTTTTCAGTAATTTGGGATATAAAAAGCTGTCATAAAGGAGAAGTTTGGATAATTTATCCATATGTTGATAATTTTTTAAGTTAATGCCTGAGATAGTATCAGCAAATGTAAAATTGTTTTGAATTTACAAGAATATTGAATTTGTTGAATGAACAAAAAACAGCTTGATCACTTAGACACATGCATGAGAGCTACCTAGATATTTGAAATCAAATTCAAAAATTCATAAAGTAATATTTTGTAATATTGACTTTACTAAAGTATAATTTAATGTATTTTAATCTTTATCATGATATAGTATCTTTTTTTCTGATTTAATTACTTTCTAAGGCACTCAGTATTATGATATTNTTATATTATATTATATAAGGGTCTTTCAAATGAAACCCGATCAATGGATATATGAAGCGCGAAATGTGTCTATATGAAATGTAGATGGAAACACTGTAGGCTCACACTGCAGTGTCACGTGACGGTGCTGTCACGTGAACCTTCGTTCGTTTAGCATGTCAGGCAGATACTCCATCCAACTTTCAAGCATGGATGCATCAACAGTTGATCGGATGGAATTTACCGCCTATCGAACCACCATAAATGCTGCTCGGTACGTGGAAACTTTAAAATCTCTGCGAGCTTTCATCAAGTCCAAGTGGAATGGTCTGCTATCGCAAGGGTCATCATCCTTCATCACAACGGCCGCATCGTGCAGGAATTCCTTGTCAAATCCAAGTGGGAAACGCTGCAGTATCCTACATACAGTCCTGACTTGCCCCTCTGCAATTTCCATGTTTTCGAGGAGCTTAAGAGTCATCTGAAAAGGCGTAAGTTTCTATCGGATGCTGAGGTGGAAGATGCAGTCAATATACAATTACAATCAAACAGGATCATTGNTGTTATCCTCTGTTTTACAAAGTTTTGTCAAATATTCATTCCATCTTACTAATTGCCTTTCCTTTTGCATTAAAATTTCTCCATTCTCATCCTTTATTGCCCCAATTTTCACCCTTCTTTCTTTCCTGAGATTAAATTACTGAATTACTAGGACGATGATATAGCGCGAACAAGAAAACAATGACAGATAGCCTGACAAGAAAATGCACCGGTGCCTATTTTGGCCCATTACTCAATATAATGTACACGGAATATTGTATAACAAATACAAGAATAACAAAACGGAATTTGTCGGATTGACAAGGAACGCTTCAAAGTCACATTTGCTGGGAAATACAATAGTGAAAAGGATGAACTGATCAGCAATTGACACGCATGTCACCATGCTCACCTCCAACTGCGATGCAACAGTCTCAACATAGTGGCGGGCTCGTCACCGAGTGACTTTTCTTGTCACAACATCAATTTTATTGGTCGTCAAGTTTTTGTCACAATGTGAATTTATATTACATCGTCATCCACGACATATTTCCCAGTGGAATCTTTATGCTTATTTCCTATGCTTAAGATTTAATATTTTCTTTTAAATTAATAAATCATTATGAAATGGAGTCTTAGAAATTCTTTGATATCCAAGTAAATTTTTCAAGGAAGTTCGCTAAACTTTATAAACAGAAAACTATATCAAATTTAATAACTGTATCTATAAATTGACGTCATTCACGACAACAATTATGCAACGAGCTTTTTCGGTAATTGTTAACGAATCAACAATTCAAATTCCATTGTTCTTTGTTTGAATCAAGACGCCATTTTCGTCTTTCTGGCATTTTCAAAGAAATAACGTAAGAAAAAGACGAGAAATTGCAGAATGATGGATGGAAGTGGAAAAGACAGTGTTTTAGTATAAGAAACAGATCATTCAAAGAACAATGGACTTTTAATTGTTTATTCGTATATACGTGATATGCATATAGGAATATACATTAAGTAAATGTAAATACTTAAATATAAAATATTACTACCAAATATAAATATAATTGCTAATTAAATTAGAATTGAATAGAATTAGAATTAAATATAAATATTTTATATATATATACTGTTTATTACTATTTAAATTAAATACGCTTATTGCTTTAAATTTAGTAATTAAACTGCTAACCTATTATTTACAGCTATAATTATAAGGGCTTATCAAGTCGCCTATGGCCGCCAGTGCTGTGTCCTTACACAGAACCGGTGGCCATAGGCGACTTGCAGTCCTCGTCGTGGGTGGAAAGCCATCAATAGGCATTCGACGACGGCCAGTAAGGCACAATGGCCTTCGTCGATGCTGGCCAACCATCTTTTTATATATACAGTACATCAGTTCGTGCATCACTTGCTGGGTGCCTTTTAACTTGTGCACTAGCACGTGCGTGCCGTTCTGTGTNGGTGGAAGATGCAGTTCGAAAATGGTGCAGACATCAACCCACTGAGTTCTGTGAGCAAGGAATCGATCGTCCAGTGTCACAGTGGAACAAGTTCCTTACTCATCAGAGCGATTATTTTTAATGTAACGTACTGTGCTATATTTACCAAATAAAGTCATTGATAGGGTTTCATTTGAATTACCCTCGTATATAGAATTAATAAATTCTCTCTCACATTAGAAATATGTATAAATATTATATTTAATTAAATGACCTATGTATTCTATTTATTAATATTTAAATTAAATACTCTTTAAATTTAATAATAAATAAAATGCTAACTTATTTATTTACAGCTATAATTATAAGTGTTTATCACATCGAATAAGACGTCATAATAGGCATAGCCGTATTCGACGACGGCCGACAGTGCCAACGAGGCACACCGGCCTTCGTCGATGCTGGCTAGCCATCTTTTCATATACAGGACATCTGCGCGTGCATCACGTACAGGGCGCCTTTCAACTTGTGCACTAGCACGTACGCGCCGGTCTGTGAACTACAAAATAATGATAATTGTCCAGTATATATTTTCAATTATGTATTTTAATATATAAGGAGCAATCAAAAAGTTCCCGGAATTTACATACAGTTAGAAAATCGGATATAAGATAAGGTTATGTATTGCTTTGGCGGAAACCTCAGCGTGTCTATTCGCAGTGTGATAATACTCGTACAAGTTTAGACTTGCAGAGTGGTTACTGTAGTGTCTTTGTTGGGGGTGACTGCTTATCATTCAGCGCAATGTCCCAGTTCGAGCAGCGTGCAAATTGGAGAAAACTGCTGTAGAGACGCTGTTGACTTTGCAGCAAGTTTACGGTTATAAGGCACTAAAGAAATCCACAGTTGACGACTGGTTTAGCCGATTTAAAAACGGAAAGGAGAGGTATTGGAGGATTACGAACGCAGCGGGAGACCGTCAACATCCAAAAGTGAAGAAAACATTGAAAAAGTTCCAGAACTGATTAAAAATGATCGAAGAATAACCATCGCTGAGATGGAGCAAGAAGTTGCTATCTCTCGCGGATCCATTCATGCAATTCTTTCCGAGGATCTGAAGATGAGACGTGTCTGCAAAATTCTTCGCTGACAACATCATTCCTGTCATCATCCAGTCACCTTACTCTCCAGATCTTACTCCCAGGGACTTTTGGCTGTTCCCTACTCTCAAAATGGGTCTCAAAGGGACGCGTTTCGCAAGCAGGGAGGACATCATATCGAATACTATGGCCCAACTCCGGAAGATTCCGAAGGAAGCATTCCACGCCTGCTTTCAACAGTGGCGGGATTGATGGAACAAGTGTGGTGGTGCGGGAGGGGCCTATTTTGGAGGTGATTAGGTCTGCGTTGACATATCTACTACAGTGCAGGATCACAATTCCGGGAACTTTTTGACTGCCCCTCGTACAATATTTATAACCTGCAAATATATTTATAATTATTTTATTCGTTGCTATTTTTTATTTTGAATTGACAGATCTGGATTGGAAATGCCTTTTATCATAACTTCATAGAAATATTTGACTTAATGACATGAAAATCGTATGCTTTGTGATCGACTTTAGGTTACCGAATTAATCAAATAGCAGCGAATATCCAGTTTTATTTCCCGATTGTTATTCTGTCGAGCAATCGGGGTCAGTTTCTGGAAAACAAAAAACTACCACAAAATGGGTGTCGCCTTGACGTGGCTTTGTGGCTTAACGTGTGAAAATGTTATCGAACTTCTAAAGATAATATTTTCCACAGACTAAGAACACCCGACAGAAATTTCATAAGTATTTGTAAAGTGATGTTTTGTCACTTTCCTGAAAATCACATAGCATTAAATGTGTTGACTCTATCACTTTATACACGTAAAAATAGACACAAACTTAAATTAGTATAAAATATACTGTATTAATAGGAGAAGAAAATCAGTAATATACAGTGGCGTGCCGTGACGTTTGATGATAGGGAAGCTGTTTGTATGATAGCATTTCCTACATTTTAATGCAGAATAACCAAGGAAATAGCGAAGTTGAGTCCGAAGTTTTAAACGCGGAAACGTGTACGTCGGACGTTCAGCGTCTCTTTCCTGTAAGCCTAGAAGTTTGCCCATGGTGTTTAGATAGTCAGTGGAATCATGTTCGACATTCCAAACGCCATTGTCAAACTTCGAGGCTTACAGGAAAGCGGCGCTGACATACACGTTTTAGCGTTTAAAACTTCGGCCTCAACCTCGCTAGTAACTATACAAAAACTGAGCTTTAAACTTAAACCAAATAAGGTTACCTGACACACTATTCTGCTAACGTTTATGAACTGTGGCACTGGACCAAAGTACAGTTGTCCCTCGATAGTCCGACGTTTTGTAATCCGACATGCTCAGTAGTCCGACGCACCTCCCGTCAAGGTCACCATAGTCCCTGTCCTCGTTACGTGTTTGCTTGCACAGAATCATGTCGCTATACATACCGTATGTACTGTACATTTATTGGCTTCCATATTTCTTTTAATAAACATATTTTATTTAACCGAATTGGGTGTTTCATTTCCATATTAACCTAGGCAGCATTTTACTCATAAAACGTAGGAATATTGTAGGCTACTGCTAGCGAAACAAAGCCAAATATGTCATCACTTTCGGTAATCCGGACACTTTCGGTAATCCGACACCTCCTTTGGTCCCATACCTGTCGGATTATCAAGGAACAACTGTACTTGCCCGACGCACTAGTCCGACAATGATAGCACAATGAACTAAGAAACTGAGCGCGCACTAGTCCTTGCGCGGGTTGTCCCGATGGTAGCCCGAGATACCCGAGATGGTTAAAATAGTCCGTAATAGTATCCAATGGTACTTATTGATTACCCTGGTTTGTATCCTAGTGAGTATTGTCTGTCCGGTTGTATCCTTGATGGAATAATCCTGGGACGCCGTACTGTTCGCTTGAGATGTTGATGTAAACTGTTACACACCGAAAGCTCCTTTGACATCCTGCCAGTAAGGTTTGCCTTGCATATGTGACAACCAAAAACCCAACCAGTGCCACAGCTGCACATCTGATTGTGGAGCACTTATCAGACGATTTATAGTGTCACAACCACGAAAATGTTCTTCTAGCTGTTCAACAGTTGCTCCATAATCAACGTTTATAACAAAAAACAGAGCCCATATTCTGGTCACTATCTTTGGTCTCTTGTCTCTCACAATCCGGTCGCTGATTGGCTAATCATTCGGCTTAGCCAATCAGCGACCGGCTTGGTCGCTGATTGGCTAAGCCAAATGATTAGCCAATCAGCGACCGGCTNCCATTCAAACATTTATTCTAAAGGATAATTTAGTGAACTTTTATTATTTTCATATTTAGTTTATTTTAAATTATAAAGTAAACATTGTAAAATTTGAATGTATTTTTATTTACAGATGGTACCTGGAGGCGATATGCCTGATACCTAATTAAATTTATCTAATATTTATGTTTCCATCTTGTGAATGTAAAAAATATGTAATAAAAGTTTTTGTGAGCTAAAATTTCTTTTAAATTTTTATATAGCTTGTTTTGAAAGTTTCTGAATCTTATTGACATATTAATAACAACAAACAATTTATTTTTAAAACACAATATAATGTAAATAAAAACATTCCTCCATTCAACATCCTGTATTCAGTTTTCTCTTACATTATTCAAGATATGTTCTGATCATTTACTGCTCTTCCGTTGACTCTGTAATATGACATACCATCTTAAAGCATAACTCATTCTGACATAAATATACAAGAGAGTGATGGTCACATTTTATTTTACAATTATTTAAAAATCTAACAATAACTCATCACTTATCACTCTATACTAGTGTTTCCCAACCTTTTTTGTGCTATGCCCCCCTAACATATACAGCGGCTATACTGTTAACTTAAACTCTGGACCAGTCCATTTTCGAATTGCCCCCTTAACAATCTATTTGCTCCCCTGTGGAGCGTGGGCCACACGTTGGGAAATGCTGCTCTGTACTGTGGAGTGAGGTAAAACTCTTAAAAATCAAATTTCAATTATTATTAAAACACTGCAATCTAAAACTTCATGCCAAAAACCACATGATTTGAGACATTGAAGTAATTTAAACATAAGCATCCATAATTTGCAATTACACACACTACTCCATATTTTAGGTAATAGGGTACTTTGTTATAATTATTATTTTGAATGCATTTGATAGTATCATTTCTATATAATGATACTATCAAATGTATTCAGAATAATAATTATAACAAAGTACCCTATTACCTAAAATATGGAGTAATGTGTGTAATTGTAAACTATGGATGCTTTCATGTACAAATTTAAGCAATTTGCCTACAAAAGCAATAAAATGATATATTTTTGTACGAAACTAGCAGGTAAGCCTGGTGTTGTCTGGGCATAAAAAATAAGAACAAATGTTANCTTATTAATCATACAGAAAAGACATAGCATTAACTGTGTTAATGCTATGTCTTTTCTGTATGATTTTTAGACATAGACATAGCATTTCAGAAAAGACATAGCATTAACTGTGTTAATGCTATGTCTAAACTCTATATGGCTTTATATTGGTAAAAATAGAGGCAAGCTAAAATTAATATAAAGTATACTGTACTAATAGGAGAAGAAAATCAGTTATATATCGATATGTTTTATAAAAAGTTTTACGTTCAGATAGAATTCTTAATAATGTATTACACAAGGTTTAGGAGGTTGTGATGCTATGTCACATTCTGTTGCACTTACATGTAGAAATACATAACAGTAAAAAAAAAAAAATGTTTAAATGTTGGAAGTGGTAGCATTTTAGCAACAGGCTCGCTGTTTATCTGAGAAAATCGCATAATTAAGTGTTTATTTTAGATCAGTTTAGACTCAAGTCCGAAATTATATTCATTAAATTTTTTAAACATGAAGGATGGTGCAAAAATATGCATAGGTTTGTATAATACAGATATTTGATGTTTCTCGTTATCATTATTTTATTTAAATTTTTTTTTCGTGTTTTTGTTTCTGATTTAATTTATGCAAAAAATAAATATTTTGTTTTACACGTGTTCTCAATAACAACAACAACGACATACCTACTTTTGCATCCCTCTTCATTTATATGAAAAATTCAATAATTCAATCAATCAATCAATCAACCAATTCTTTATTGTGTGAACCTTAGTTTGTTACAAGCGGTAATTTGTTACAAAAACAAAATCAATAGTATTATAATATATTAATATTTAACAAGTTAATAATTTAAGTACAAAATAACACAAAGTAAAATATCGAGTAATAATCAGTTTTTGTTTGATAGTTGCACGTCAAAGCGCCATATATTAATAATACGGTATCTTTCTAATCTTTAAACCTTATTAAATATTTTCCCTACTATCTCTAAATTTTACACAATGAAGAAATACATGTTCCCAAGTTTCATATACTTGCATAGTACAGTTACTACATATTTTTTTTCAGGATCTATTGTTATTCTGCTATTACGGTATACGTTAAGATATAATTTTGACTTATCTCAAATAAAGGATTAATTGTTTAACATAATAATTTATGTCCACAAGCAAATAATCTTTACACATGAACGTCGTTTTAATACTGCAATATAATTGAAAGTGCTTATTCTTTTCTAACAGAGACCAATCTTCTTTCGCAGCACAATTTTATAATTAACGGTTGATAACATTCTATGTTATCAACCGTTCGGGGTTCTCATTCTATCAAATGAGGACCCCGAAATAGCCATAGAAAGAAAACACAAAGTTTATCCAACAGATTTTGCAATGCTGACGCCCAATTATATGTGCAATCCTTTGTTATTGAACACAATCTGTAAAGTTTATCATACGCTAGTTTAACGTAGCTTTTATCGTCTAATTTTAAGAGACGTATCCAAAATAAAATTATTACTTTTACTGTAATTACTGATATTCTAGAAACTCCAAACTCCAATCACAACATGTACGCTGGAATTTTGTTGTATAACATGAAAATTTTTCTAAAATATAAAGCAAGGACGATTTGCAGTTTATCATAATAAGTGATTGCCAATAAGGGGCCGCTTAGAGTAATACGGATGAAATCATTGAACGAAATCTATACTGTATAAATAAAAATGTAATGTCCGTTTGTTCCTAATAGCTAATCTCCGAAAGTTCTTCACCGATTGCTTTGAAATTTTCACACAACGTTCCATTCGAATACGGGCGGGTTTTTATATAATATATATGACGAAATTCCTTCCCCCGCGAGTTGATAACAAAAAAAGTTATTTTTTAATGAAATCTCATAACAGATGGCGCCACATACAATTTTAACTTGCTGTTAGTTTTTCTTAAATAAATATTTTTCGCCTGGAAAATTATGAAATATCTAGCTATAAAAGTTTGAAAATTAATTAATTCGTATTTACAATTCCATATTTTTTGTTTTTTTTTGTTGACTATTGCCACATAGTTCAAGAGACATTTCTGAGACCGAAACTTCGGTTCCAGACATTAAATTTACAGGAGATGCACTCTCTTAATGTGATAATTCCCTCCTTGGGAATTACCCTAACGTAAAGGACTTGGGTAATTCCAGCAGAAGAAGGCGGCAGCACTGATTGTAAGGCATATTAGCCATAACCTCGACAGCATAGGCATTTTAGAGATGGCAACGTTTCTTTTGCTAACGAGATAGCCGATTCGAAAATATTGCCGGGGCACAGTCTACAATAAAAAGTTGTTATCCTATGGTATAGTGTTATGTTGATAGTGTTAGATTAATTATATGATTTGTTTCTCTAGAAATATCAAACTCTTTTCTCCGAGGTAACAGTTTCAAACGTTTTACATTGTGATAATTTAACAGTAATATAAATATTGGTAAATAGCGTTTTAAATGTAAGAATTGTGTTTTGATTTCGTGTAAAATTTTATCTCCGATACGATCGAAAACTATTAGGGATAAAATTGAAGTTCTGAATGAGGGGTTTGGACTTCCCTCCAAATGTTACTCTTGTGGACGACCTGAAGTGCCGAATGCTCTTAAAAATTCAGCGTTCTCATGTGCAATTCTTAAAATATGTTTTCCTTTTTATAACGCAACTAAAACTACTTATTAACTAACTGTAACAAAAAACAAAATGCATTACAAATTCAGATAGAGATATGAGATGTATTGTAGGTACTGTACATTCTTTTGAATATATCTGGTCAGACTGGAATGATGATAACTGCATTTGTTAGCATTCTACATAATCCAATGATCAACTAGAATCAAACTTTTTTTTGATTTTTAAAATATGTTGCCTGCACCAGACAGATGGTAATGTAGGTTTTTGGAATGCATTCATAAGTAGAGTTTGAATTGGACGAAACAGTCAAGAATGTATTTTATTGCGAAAGTGGAGACAAACTGAAATTGAATTCTCATTATCATCTGAATATTTGCTTATATTTAGTGAACCAGATGACTGAAGTATATGAAGAGGCTTTCTATGAGAAATGAATTTGTTTTAGATTAGAAACCTACACTGTACCTTGGGCCTGGGATGTGTCAGGAGATGGGATGTGTGTAAGAATCATTTTGCTGATTGTGCCAGATGGCACAATCAGCAAAATGATTCTTAGTATTGAGTAAAGAATTTTATTAAATAATAAAAAGCATTAGTTTAAGTTTGCTGCCAATGGTGAGAGAATGCATTAAGTGATTAAGAACTGTAGACTATTCAAAACAAATTGATTTCTTCACTGGGCTTGACTGTTGAGAATATTATTTTGGCAATTTTAAAAATCAAAATACTTTTACAAAATACAGTATTTCATTTGATTGTATTCGAGACATCAACCACCAAGAGCAAATAGCTAAAATTGTGTGCTAATTAAAAATTAATGATGAAAAATATACTGTTGAAGAAATGGGAGAAAAAACTGGGAATGGACTTGCAGAAGAAATTTTAAATAAAATAAGAAAATATGGCTTAAGAATATCAGATTGTAGAGGACAATTGTACAATGACAGTGCTAATATGGCTGGTAATTTCTGGCCTTTTTCTGCTTTCAGAGTGGTAAAGGGCCTAAAACCACAAATAAAAAAAATATGGCTGGTAAATATTGAGATGTTTGAGGTTGAAACTTGCAACAGTATACTAGGTTTTTACCATGTTCTGCTTATTCTTTAAATTTTATTGCAGTACATGCTTCTTGCATAATGCAGAAATATCTACATTTTTTGACACGCTGCAGATACTTAATTATTTTTCTGGATCAACAGAACATTGTGAATCTTTATCAAATTTGAAAGGTCATTTTGATACAAGGTGGTCATCAAAGTATAATTCATTTCACTCTTGGTATAACCAACTATCAGAAATAACAAAAACATTACATTCAATATCAGAATATCAAAAAGTAAAGGCATAACTTTATAGTGGATGTTTACATTCTGAATTTTTTTTGAAGGCCAGTTTTTAAGAAAGTATACTTTCCAATAAAAATTGGCAAGAGGCATAATAATAATGAATCAAGAGATACCAATTACATAAGTTTTAGTTTTGTAGAATTTCATTTTCATATTAAAGCCAAAAACTTTTCAATACCTTTCTTGCCTTATAAATGTTTTGTGTAGGGTGTAAATATATATATATATATGCATGCAAATTACTGAACTCTCACTTAAGAAACTTATCTTGTAAAGAAAGTTCTATTCCTGAGAAGCTAAAAAGAAAAGTGATAAAATCTGATAGAAAAGTTTAACTTTTTTACAATGAACATGTTACAATACATAAAACATTAAAACCATGGATTAAACATTAAACAGGTAATAAGAGTGAATTTTCACAATAATTTGGCTTTTATTATGTATGGAACCAAAACTGACATAAAATTCCTCTTCATTTGCTCAAAATTTTTGTTTGTCAGTTGAAAATCTACAAAAGTTCAAATTTGGTATATGAAAAGTGATTTAGTTGTATTAAAGTACTAGTTTTGAAAGAGCAAGTTGTCTGAAAGTTTAGGACTTTGGTGTTTCTTTTAATTTAATAAATACATTATTACTTTAATTCTGCTTATTGAATATAATTTAATAAATTTTTAAAAATATTTTCAGGATTTACAACATTTGCTTAAGTTTTCAACATAGAATTAAAATGGCAGAACCAAATAAGAAATTATGCATGGAAAAGATAAAAATTGGAACTCATAATGGAACCTTTCATTGTGATGAAGTATTGGCTTGTTTTCTTTTGAAATTACTTCCTAGATATAAGGACGCCACTATCATTAGGTAAAATTTTAAAATATATTAATAATAAACATGATTAATTTTTAAAATCAAATATTATAATTTACAAATTTATTTTAGTATGATGTGTGTGAAAATAAAACACAACATAAACAAATTGTTGATAATATATCCATTTAATATTCTTCATCATATAATGAAATGTACTGGTACTTTAACTGTTCCAATAGTTGCAAGTTGTTGTTGATGGTAAAATGATAATGTTGAGGTAAATTGCAACTAATGAAAGCAAGGAGTTGTTTGCCAACAAAAAGACATGAACATTGTTTGATGACAGGATGTAACTGTGTGCCAGGTTTGTGTGTCTTGGCAAATGTGAATGTGTGTGGAACTTTGGGTGATGGAATGACTGAATGTTGCAAATATAGCAGATGTCTTAATGTAGAGGCAGTAAATTTCTTGACTTTATATTGTAATGATACAAGGAAATTATGAGACTTATATGCATTCAGTGCTGGTGTTGTATTCATTCAATCGTTCCATGAATGTGTTTTTTTTTAATTATACCACACCTATGGATTTGTCTGCCTTCATGAGGACTACATCATTGTGCTTTAACCAATTCTTGTGATTGTGGAGTTTGATCCAAAATTGCTGGTCTTTACATATGTATCTTTATTTACTGTGCTTATATGGCTTTTTCAACAAAAAAAGAACTCAGCACTTGCAATTGCAGCAGTGATGCGTTCTTATTTGTACTTATTGCTCTATTGCAGTGGCTCAAAATGTAGTCCACGGTTTTCTGGATATCCTTCAGATACTTGTCAGAGTCCACAGGTTCATTTTCTAAAAATGTTTTTATTTTTGATATTTGAAAATATTATTGAAAGCTTATTAAGATTCAAATGAAATGTGATAAATTATTAAATTTTATAATTTATTAATTCTGTTATTTTAACAAAAGTTTTCAAATTAACACAATTGAAAACTATTAAAAAATAATATAAAATGCCTCAGATGATTATATATTTATTATTGTATCAGATGCTTATAATATTTATTATTGTAGTTTATTAATTAATGACTAAAAGCTAACAGCTGAAAATAGAGGAGCACTGAAATATATCTTTTATGAAAGGTTGCACTAAACCATTGCAATGTTGAATAGTCTCTCTTTTGTTTCACCAGTCCATATTTAGCTGTTAAAAAGTTGTCAGTCTTATTCAAATACAGACATTTACAATAAATTGTCAAAACAAATAATACAAGTACAGTTTTAACAACTGGTTGACTGAATAAAAAGTATTTTAGAAGTTCTGCTGAACCAGTCTGAACTGGCATGTAAATATGTTGGTATATTAATTATATATAAACTTATTTACACACGAGAGAGAATCACAGTAATGACAAAGATTTCTGTTATCATGAACAAAGGAAATTAGGTTTAGATTTGAAAGGTTCTCTAATGAGGGAAGTACACTTGATGTCACTAACTGATTTTGACAACTATATGTCAAATGGAAGAATTTAATTAGTGTAATAAATCAACATATTTTTATTTGCAGACTAACAAGCATTAGGCATTGATTAAAATGTGTTACTGCACACAACTTAAGATAACTTATGACTCCTACAACATATGCAGAAATCAACAGTGTAATAATATAGAGCAACGATGCCCAAACTGTGGCTTGTGAACTGCATGCAGCTCTTCAAGAGCTTAATTGTGGCTCAACTAATAAATAAAAAATATTTGTTATTTTTTAAAATTTCATTACAAACATTACAAAATCATAAACTTTCAACTAGCAAAGAGTAAATAACAAAAATGCAATAAATATGTAAAAATTGTCAAAATAAATATATTATGATTCTGAAATTTCTTTTTATATTTTTATACCAAGAACATTAGGTGTGGCTCCCAATATTTTCAGGTATGTAACTAGGGCTCTTACAGCAAAAAGTCTGGGCACCCCTGATATAGAGCATTAAAAATTTTTTTGATTGATATGTCATATGTCAAATTTCAATTAGTAGTAGATTCAAAAACTTGAAAAACCATGCAAGATAACTAAAGTTTCTTTTCCCAATTGTCCTCTTTTCATTCTCCCTCTCGGGGAGGCCAGATGACCTTAAAAGGTTTAAAAGGTTCTATACAGTTTCTGGAAGCAGAACCAGAACTGCTTAATTTGTTGAACTAGACAGTTCTAAGGAACCATTATGTGACCTTTCGGGTCGGCACCTCTTTGGTACCCTGTCAGGATTGACACCACCGTGTTTCTCGAAACATGGAAACCGAGACGGCGATTACGTCACGCCGTCGCGCGAGCGGTTCCGTACGTGGTCAGACGGATTCTTAATGTCGATTCGAGAGACAACATTGGAAGTGACTCAGATACACTTAATTAACAAGGGTTTATTTACAAATCTATTGGATGAAGAATTTTCGCGGAGAGAGAGAGTGCACATACACTTCGCGGGATGATAAATACCTTTGTTAATAGATTCGGGTCTTGTTCGGATCTTGTTCGGATTATAACAGCTTCCGATGGGTTTAAGGTTTCTGATTCGTTATCCAGGCGATTCACTAACACACACACACACACACAGACAAGTTTATCCTATGGCGATTAATTCGGATTCCTTAATGGATGATAATTGAAGGGACGGCTTTCCTCTCCGAGGACTAAGGCAGCGACTAACTCTTTTCGGCCGTCTCTGATGATACTCACGGACGATTTCGGCCGTGCAGAGGTTAATAGTTCACGAGAAAGCGTCATGTTGCTTTCGAGAAAATGTAACGGGAGACTTTCTCAGGTAGCTAAGAACAACAATTGTTGCGTAATTCGCGAAACGTTATTATTAAAGATTATTTCAAATATAAGACTTTTTGCTATCTCACATCACTCCGGCCTTTTGAAAATCGAGCTTGTTCGTGAAAGTGCAAGTTCGATTTTAGATTGTGATATAAGAACATTGATAAGTTGGACTTTTACTCTCTCTCTTTTTTTTTCTATTTACATAATAGTAATGGGAGTATAAGTTACATAGTAGTAATAGGAGTACATAGGTTATTATTTATATAAATTTAGTTTACAAATTTAGGTTACTCTCTCTCTCTTTATTTATGTTACGCGGTTAAAATAAAACACTCGGACACGTGGTTAAAGGTAAATATAAATGATGTTTTAATAAAAATAAACTTATTACAAAAAAAAAGAAATTGGTTATATAATACGAATAATATTTATGACATGGTTATAATATTTTGTATAGTAATATATATGATTTATACGTGAACAGATGGAGAAAAGTTATGAGGTGGAATTTCTAGGATGGGACTGGTGGGGAGGATGGGAAGTGGAGCGGGAGGTAGGAGAACGAAATAGAGGAGTACGAGAGGCATGTGGTATCGTTTCCGGCGGATTAGTAGTAGTAGTAGCTTCTATAGAATTAAGGGATTCATTAGAGCTGATGAAGTCTGGTTCTGGTCGAAGATGGCGATTGGCATCTTGGTACTCTTGTTCCAGTTGAGGTGGCGCAGAATATCCGATTGGGAGAATTACTGTAACTGGAAGAAGGGATCTTGGTCGTTGAGAACGAGCGAACCGAAGGGCTGCTCGCAGAGTTTCGGTATTGACTTCCTGGGTTATGGCAGATTCTTGATTAGCTTGGGAAATGCTGGGTTCGTTATGATTATTCATCTACGGTGGAAATGTTCAGAATGAATTTAAAGCTATTAGAACTTTCGAAAAATTGTAAAAGTTCGAAAGGAATTGCAAGAGAGGGTGAGGAAGGGTTTGTGGATGATGGCGGAATTCCGTATTTCTCATGGATAACTGAGGTCCACCGGAGAGTATGATCTCCTTTTTTAAATTTGAGGTTGTAGATAAATTTAGCATGGGAAATAGGATTGTCTAGAAACTGAACGGTGATTATAAAAGATGGGTTTATAGGAGAATCTTTGGTAATGGTGATGAGGAATTGGTGAAGATGGCACTCGAGTACGGCGGCCCAGGTGCCCTCAGGTATTTGAAGATCGACGCCTTGAAAGAAAATGGATGGTTGGGATACAATGGGTACCTGGGGGTGTCCTATTCGGAAGTGGGAAAGGAGATGCATTCTAGCTCCTTTCCAGGTACAATTTAAGGATTGAAAAGGACAGGGAAGAGGTTGGAAAGGACAAGTTGCTTCGTGTTGGGTGCGGCTGTCCTCGGGGAGTACTTCGGTGCACCCAAAGGAGTGGAAAGTACAAGGGGATTGCATAGTGCGAAGAATTTGTTCGGTAAGAAGGTTTCGTATATAGCCTAGAGATTCTCGACACGTGTGACATTGGGAAATTCGGGGTCTACAATCGGGACAAACAACATGACCATTAGTGCACTGATAGACAGGTGCTTTTAGGCGGCTATAGCAGATAGGGCAATTAAGTAAGGCGTCCAAAGAAGGGTCCATTGTGGTGGGTGTATGCAGCAGGGAATAGTCTGTAAAGAAGAAAGGAAGAAGATGCAAAAAAAACAGGTACATAATATTAAAAGGGTAATTATATCTAAATATTATATATGGTTATAGCAGGTGTTGTTTACATAAGAATGGGTGTGCGGTCTCCCGAAGGAGGGGGAGATATTTCAGAATTTCGTGTGATTAAATCGGATGCGCGTTGGACCAGTTCTATGGTGGGTCTGATGCGGCGGGGTTGCGGTCGAGGGTGACGTAGTCGTAAATAAATAACACTGAGGATACTTCCTATCTCAAGAACAGCGATGAAGGCGGACACGATGAAAATGGCGGTTGGTGTAGAGACTCGGGAAGAGGGTTTATAATTCGGTTGAGCCGTAAGAAGCTGTTCCAGATCGAGTTCCATTTTGGTTAGTGATTTGTCGGCTCGTAAGATCTCTGCATCTGTTTGCATCTCGGAGGTTAAAATGGGAAGTTGAGGTTGTGTCAGTCGAGTTTGGATGATTTTTAATTCTGTTTCATTGATAATATTCTCGATAGGAGGAATGATAAAATGGTTCGTAGTTTCGAGATGGATTGCAGTTTTCCTTTGAAAATGCGAAGTTAAAACAATTCCGGGAAGATATCCGACACAAGTTTCAGGAAGTATTATTATACCCGTATTGTTTATTTTAGAGATGGTAATTGGAGGATCTTTCTTGCCGTTGGAGGGACATTTAATGGTTAGGCTCATAGGAGTAGGAATGGAATAAGTCCAAGTTCCTTGGTTATCTATACGTCGGAAAATAGGAGAATAAGCCCTAATTAATCGTCGAGGACATAATTGATTAATAAATTTTTCATTTCCCAAGTATAAGGAATATTCGCAGCTCTGTCTTGGCGATTGCCAGATAGGTACGCTGGGTGAGCACATGGCTACAGGAGTCGTTTGACATTTCATTAATTCATGATACGATAATAACATATAAGATTGACGATTTCTTGACAAAGCAATAATTGGATAAGAATTGTTATAATAAACAAAGGATTGTATAGTGGGATAATATACAGGTAGTCTCACAATTTCGTAGATATCAAAATATCCTGTGGGAGTAATGAGAGGTATTTTGGCGAAAATGCGGAGTATTTTTGGTAAGGCTATGGCTGTAATAGATGTCCATTGGTAATATTTGAAGATGGTTTCAAGTCGGGGTGTTTCCAAGAAGGAATATCCTTCGGGTAAATGTAATTGTATCTCTTTGAGGGTGTTCAATAACACTTCTTTGGGGAGAAAATAAGTGCTAAGTCGGCCTTGTTCCAAGGTTTCGATGGCATTTCGGATCTCAAGTATTAGAGTTCGAAATTCTCTGATGGAGAACTCGGTAGATCGAACTGCTGATTCTACTGCTAAATGATATTGGTGTTGGATTAATGTTTCTTCGATGAGGGTTTGCTTTTTTATCAAAGTATAAATTTGGTTTCGATTTGTCTTGGCGATTCGCAAGGTATCATTGAGTAAAGTTGCTTGAGACTGGAGAAAGTGAGTAAATTCCATGTTTGTTTCGGATAATTGCGCTATTTTTTCGTTGAGACTTTCAATATCTTCCGATGTGGCTGTTCCAAATAGATATTTGAGGATTTTGCCTCCAGCATTTATTAAGCCTCTTTTTTCTCGAGTAACGTTAGTAAGGGTTACTAATGTTTGTAATTCCCGGTAATCCGCTTCATATCCTGTTAGGGTGGTTTGTAGGAAGGTGAGTTCATCAACAGATAGAGACCATCGTGGAACAGTAGGGTCATCTTGAGATGAAGAGCGCATTCGCTGTACTAATGAGATTAACAATTGAATATGTCGCTTTAAAAGGTGTAATTGTTCCTCGTAAGAATCAAAAGATATATCCAAAACAAGAATCCAGTAATTGGTAGTCATAAAGAAATTTCCTTGGTGTACAAAGACAAACCTTTGTGGAGGTTATGAGGGTCCTCTCGTGGGTTGATATGGAGAGTGGAGATCCCTGAGGTGAGGAAGGCAAGTTGGAGCAGAAGGGTTAAGTGCATGGTGGATGATGTTATTCTGGAGGAGAAAAAAAAATTTAAGTGATTAAAGAGATGTAGAGAGGGACTATATCAAGTTTTTTTTTCAAGTCTTTTTTTTCTTGGTTCAA